AAAATTGGGATTCAATCGCGTCGTTGGCGGCCGCCATTACTCGAATTGTTTGCATACATTCGCTGCGGAAAGCTAAACGCGGAAGACTACGGAAAGCTAAGCTCGGAACTGATCTTTCTTTTTTGCCTCAATTACTCCGCACGAGGAATATTTACGTACACACGCTCAGTTTGCGCAATGATACCTACACTGATAGCTATTCTGCAGCGAATGTATACAAACAACGCCAGTAATGGCTGCCCGAGACGCAAATGAATCCGAACTTTCACTGTCGATAACTCCAAACCGGTTGATTTTATCAAATTTATCAAGCCAGATTCGAATAGAGCATATACAATTACACATAAATGCAGATTTATTGGACATATTTAATGCGAACTGAGTGCGGGTGTTACACTGCAAATTAATCCATTGATCCTTCTATTAATGATGGTAGTTTCATTCCAAGCTGCTTACGGCCCCATCACGTTGAAACACCGGTTCCTGTACGATCAGCTCAGTTAAGCAACGTTGAGCCTGGTCAGTACGATCAGCGAAGTTAAGCAACTTTGAGCCTGGTCAGTATCCAGATAGGTGATTGCATGGGAATACAAATTACTGTAAGCTTTGGATGTGCGGCTAGAATAATGGCTCTAAATTGTTAATCTGTGAGCCGAATTCCACAATATATATATATATATATATATATATATATATATATATATATATATATATATATATATATAGCTAGATTAAAAGCCACCATATTGGGTGGCATTTAAGCTAGCTCCTTACTTACTGCCATTTAGGAAGATTGATATTATATAGTAGTTCATCAGTATTTTCTTTGTTTCTAACGAGATTTTCTTGTTTCTTAATATTTTATAGTCTTTGTAAGGCATATTTCCCAAATGCAATATCAATTCGGATCTCGGTGTTACATTTTTCATAACCTATTAAAACACTTCGCAGATATATTGACAAAAAAGAAAGCATCCCATATATTTAAACACTATTTGTTTATTTGTTAAAACGCTTTTTAGATATTTAGATATCATCTGTTATAATATTTCCCAAATATTGTAACTTCATTTGTTAAATCACTTTCCAGATATTGAACTTTTATCTATTTAAACACTTACACCATATTTGAGCATCATTTGTTAAAACACTTCCAAGATTTGAAAACTTAATTTTTTAAACAATTCCCAGATATATAAACATCATCTGTTAAAACACGTCTCAGATATTTAAAATTAACTACTTAAACATTCCCAGATATTTAAATTTCAACTGTTAAAGCACTTCACTCTTAAGCTTCATTTTGCTAAAACACACCTCAGATATTTAAACTTCATTTGATAATACGCTTCCCAGATATTTAAACATATTTGATAAAACACTCCCCAGATATTTAATCTTCATTTGATGAAACACATCGGAGATATTTAAACTTAATTTGATAAAACACTTTCCAGATATTTAAACATATTTGATAAAACACAATAATTTAAAAATTTAAACTATTTGAACTTCATTTGATAATACCTTTCTTATTTAAACTATTTGATAAATATTTGAACTTCATTTGATAAACACATCGGAGATATTTAAACTTAATTTGATATTTAAATATTTATTTGATAAAACACACTAATCCCATAACACTTCGCAAATATTTAATCTTCATTTGATAAAACACATTTAAACATATTTGAAAAACTTAATTTTAATCTTCATTTGAAAACACTTTCCAGATATTTAAACATATTTTCCAGATATAAAATACTAAAACACTAATCAGAAATTTAAACTTCCTTTCTTATAACACTTCGCAAATATTTGAACTTCATTTGATAATACCTTCCCAGATATTTAAACATATTTGATAAAACACTCCCCAGATATTTAATCTTCATTTGATGAAACACATCGGAGATATTTAAACTTAATTTGATAAAAACACTTTCCAGATATTTAAACATATTTGATAAAACACTAATCAGAAATTTAAACTTCCTTTCTTATAACACTTCGCAAATATTTGAACTTCATTTGATAATACGCTTCCCAGATATTTAAACATATTTGATAAAACACTCCCCAGATATTTAATCTTCATTTGATGAAACACATCGGAGATATTTAAACTTAATTTGATAAAACACTTTCCAGATATTTAAACATATTTGATAAAACACTAATCAGAAATTTAAACTTCCTTTCTTATAACACTTCGCAAATATTTGAACTTCATTTGATAATACGCTTCCCAGATATTTAAACATATTTGATAAAAACACTCCCCAGATATTTAATCTTCATTTGATGAAACACATCGGAGATATTTAAACTTAATTTGATAAAACACTTTCCAGATATTTAAACATATTTGATAAAACACTAATCAGAAATTTAAACTTCCTTTCTTATAACACTTCGCAAAATATTTGAACTTCATTTGATAAAACGCTTCCCAGATATTTAAACATATTTGATAAAACACTCCCCAGATATTTAATCTTCATTTGATGAAACACATCGGAGATATTTAAACTTAATTTGATAAAACACTTTCCAGATATTTAAACATATTTGATAAAACACTAATCAGAAATTTAAACTTCCTTTCTTATAACACTTCGCAAATATTTGAACTTCATTTGATAATACGCTTCCCAGATATTTAAACATATTTGATAAAACACTCCCCAGATATTTAATCTTCATTTGATGAAACACATCGGAGATATTTAAACTTAATTTGATAAAACACTTTCCAGATATTTAAACATATTTGATAAAACACTAATCAGAAATTTAAACTTCCTTTCTTATAACACTTCGCAAATATTTGAACTTCATTTGATAAAACGCTTCCCAGATATTTAAACATATTTGATAAAACACTCCCCAGATATTTAATCTTCATTTGATGAAACACATCGGAGATATTTAAACTTAATTTGATAAAACACTTTCCAGATATTTAAACATATTTGATAAAACACTAATCAGAAATTTAAACTTCCTTTCTTATAACACTTCGCAAATATTTGAACTTCATTTGATAAAACGCTTCCTAGATAATTGAACTTCATTTGATAAAATATTTCCCATATATTTAAACATCATTTGTTACCACATCTGCCAGGTATTCAAACAGCATCTTTTGAAACGTTCGCAGATATTTAATCGTCAGCTATTTAATCACTTTCCAGATATTTAGACATCAGTACGCATGGATTATATCACAACTGTGATTATAAAACCAAAACTTCCCATAGCGTCGATTTAAAACACAATGCTCAGCTGCCATGTTGGATTCTTTTTCTATCACTCTCCTCCAAGGTTATCCAATCTTGCAAGAGTTCCATCATAGGAAGTTCGTGGAAATTGAATGCAACATGATCTGGACAATTCACAGAAACAGGAGTCTGAGAGGACAATTCTCGTCAAGTAATTTCTATATAAATATTATATATAAGTATTATTGGGAGAACACTCATAAAAAAAACAAAGATGTTATGTAGTGGGAACAGAAAGACATTTATATAGGCTTACCTAATTTCAAATTTGGAGGTTTTAAAGAGAAAGGAAACACAACCATTGCTACTGTTGTTCCTCAGCTGCCCGAGGCCGCGCCCTCTCATTGCACTAGAGAGAGGGATCGATGCTCGCATCGAGGCCAGCGTAACCTACGATTGTCGGGGTTCGGGCAATTTTTGTTCCTAGCCCGGTTGTACGCGCATGGGCTTCCCACATTAAACCGACCTTGTGTCACAACCTGACCTCGTGGGGAATTGAGTAAATACAAATTGCAGTTGTTCCCAGGTCCATCCTCACCAGGGGTGCTAGCACCTGTTAGGTTCCCAGCCATGGGTAAGTAATGAGTCACCAAACAAAAAACACAACACTATGAAAATATATTTTTATATAAAATACTAACAATACATATCTAGAGTATCCCCCCCCCATTAGAATGTCTGATAGTCAACTTCCTGAGAGCAACTCCCTGCGTCTGCTCGGTCTCACGTTGACTGCTGACCTGAGATCGAACAAATACATTGAGTCAATTGCTTCGTCCACCGCAAAGAAAATTTGCTCTCTGTGCTGCGCCAGGAAATTTTTCTCCCCGGAATCGATACTTCAAATATACAAATCAACCATTCGCCCTTGCATGGAGTATTGCTGCCATATATGGTCTGGGGGACCTTCTATTTACCTCGGAGTTCTTGACAAGATCCAGAGACGGATATGTAATATAATTGGCCCTGCTCTGGCGTCTTGTCTACAGTCACTCTCTCACAGACGCGCCGTCGCCTCTCTCTGTCTTTTCTACAAATACTTTCATGGTAATTGCTCCGATGAGCTGCTTTCACTGGTTCCCAGACTCCATGAATTCAAGCGCCCTACGAGGCTGGCATCCCGCTCCCACCCTTACACTGTAGAAACTTTTAAATGTAGCCGTCTCTTCTACTCCAATAGCTTTATACCTCGCACCTCTCGCCTGTAAAACACCCTTCCCAATTACTGTTTCCCAGAGAGCTATAATCTCCAACTATTCAAATGTAATGCCAATCGACATCTCCAGTTACCTTGATCTATCCACTATCCCTCTCCTCATCCTTTCTTCTATCATTCCTATTTTCTCTTGCTCCTAATCTTCTGCAACCCCCTGCATCCTAGTGGCTTCACGCCTTGCTCGGGGCGTAATGCTCAAAAAACTAAAAAGAAAAAAAAAGACAAACAATACAATTTTAAAGCAAATGACTAACAATACATTTTATAGTAGAAGTGCCAACAATACATTTTATCTGTAGTTGAAGGCATACAGTAACTTTCAAAATATATTTAGTTATAAAATTGTTCAAAATATTTAGATTTCGGCATTAAATAATCCATCGAGGTGTTAATATGCCGTTAAAAAATGAACCAATCTAAATTCAGCCTACTATTCAACGCACAAATCGTGTTGTTTTACTTGTAATAAATCTTTCCCTTTTTTTTTTAATTTACAGATTCTAAAGATACATTCCTGGTGCGTCTATTGGCCCCAGACTTCTCCAGTAAGGACAACATCACGATCAGAAAACAAAGACAACCCGTGAAACAAAATAAAAAGCTGTGGTGGACAAAAACTTCTTTATTTTACGAAGATAACTATCAATTTAAAATAAGAAATAGTAAGTCTGTAAAACAAGAAAAAAGAAAAGTAAGGAACAGATTCTTCAAACAAGAGAGAGAGAGAGAGAGAGAAGAAGAAGAAAGAGACGATATTAAAACTGCTACTTAGCGTCGACACCTCGTTGCGTATTTACAAAAATAAACTCTAGCCGCTTTGAGTTGTCGTAAAGCTCTACTTGCAGAAGGCGGTGAACTGACCTGCGGATAGCTAGCCTAATTTAAAAGGCATAAATACATTGGTCGATCTAACACTCAGCGTTTTTTTTTTCTTCTTCTTCTCCTAAGACAACTTCTCAAATTGGAACATTTACTGTGAATAATGAAAATCATCGAATTTGGCGTTTTTCTAATTGTCACGTTTTTTGTCTCTTCAGGTAAGTGTTTCATTTGTGAAGCCTTTCATTTTGTAAAATGTTTATTCATGCCATCAAACGTAAAAGCATATCTTAAGTCTTTGCTTTTAATATCTAAATAGGTGTTTGGATCTTTTCTTTTCTTTTACCCTAAATAATATAAAGTTTATCGCAAATAACAAGAAATTATAAATTTTAAATCGAAGTTTGTTTTTATTAAATTTTTGGTACTCTTGAAATTATAAATTTCAAATCAAAATTTATTTAGCTTGCCTCCCAACAACTCCAACCATCAGAATTAAACAAAATAGGAAAAATCTAGGAGTTATTTTCATTTCGTATGTGGGTATGATATTCAAAGTACTTACAATGAATATTTTACAATTCAAAAAAAAATAATAATTTGTTTTTGGTGCGTTTATCGGAGTGAGCGCGAATGTAGACCCCCACACTTAGAAATATTGCGCCTGTGTCGCCGAAATTTGGAGCGTTCGAAAAGATCAACCCAACCAAAGTGCAATGTAAGGCCCTCACTCTGGAAGAACTTGGTGTGAATTCTAGTAAATATAAATTCTTTTTATTTTGTGGTGGATTCACAGAAAAGATCTAGGTTTTTAAATGAGACGTTTTTAAATATATATTTTTGTAATTCTCATGCTAATATCCACTAATTCTTAGCATTTAAAGTATATTGTCAATGGAAAATCAATCCATCACTTTATGTCCAGCAGAACTTTTATGAATTATGAGTTTAACCATGCTGTCAAAAATGTTATTGAATAATTTAAAATCCTTTCTATCATTAGGCTTGCACATGTGAATCTTTAAATGTTTCCAACTATTGTATAATAATATGTAAATAAAATATTAGTCCTTTTTCTTCATGGATATGCCGTGTCCCCTCAGGACGGCGATCATGGCTCGCCACATTTTCCTGTCTTTTGTAGCTCTTAATAAATTTTGTCTTTTTATCTTTACTAAACTTCGTTATGTCATCCATTTACTCAAGTTCGTTAGGTAGGTTATACGTTGTTTTTCTCTGTCCATCTTGCCTTCAATGTGTCCTGTGAGGATCAAATTCTTCAATCCTGCCTTCGTCACTATGTGCCCCAGAAGCTTCATATATCTCCCTCTGATGTTAAGTATAAGTGTCATTTTCGTTTCCATTTTCTTGAAAACGTCATCGTTGCTCACATGTTTGGTCTATGGTATTCTCAACATCCTTCTGTAGAACAACATTTCTGTTGCTTCAAGTCTCTTCTTCATTTGGGTGGAGACCGTTCATCATTCACTGCCTTATAGAAGAACTGATTTTACGTAACATACCTTTTTCTTTGTTTCTAAAAAAAACATTCCTGTTTCTTAATACTTTTCTTAGCTTCTAGAAGACATTGTTCGCTACCCCAATGTACCTACGAAATTCTGTGTTGCCCTTTTCGTCCTCTGTTAATACACTCCCCAGATACTTAAGTTTTTATGCTTGTTTGATTTTGGCATCTCCATTTTGTAATTTGCATCTTAGGCTGTCCATTTTGCTAACGTAAAAGAATATAATTTAAAGTATATCAAAGTGAACGTAATTTCTGCCAATAAAAATTCTGCATATTTGATTAGAGCAATAATTAATGACTCAGATATAAAGTTTAAAGATTTATTTCTGTTAATTCACCCCCAAATAATGTAATGAAATAACATATAACATTTCGCAAGTTCGGTTCGAGGAATTATTGACGGCTCTGCAAGAGTGTGTTGAACAACAGCAAGTCCTCAATCTCTCCAGACTTCAATCAATTCAAAGTCATGACATCTACAGAAGATAAGATTCAAAAACTCTTTTCCAACACAACACTCGACTCATTTCCCCCTGAGAACAGAGGCTCGATTGAGTCTGGTTATACAGCTATATATTTAAAGATTCTTGATAAAATCCCAAGAAGAATTTGCTATTAGTCCTGATCTTGCATCTCGGCTAGTTACATTTCCACGGTCGTAAAGTAGATTCCCTGTGTTTTTCTATAAATACTTTTATGGCAATGATTCTGATGACCTTTGCTCGATGGTAACTAGACTTTCTGAATTTAAGCGCAGTACTAGATTGGTGGTAAGGTCTCATTGTACAAAGTAAATGGCTAGATATAACCGTAATTTCTCTGGTAAAAAGTTTCTTCTCTCGCACTTCTCCCCTGTGGAAATCTTTTATGTCTTTTTGTATCACACTCAACTTTGATGTTCAAAAATATTATTGCAATGTGAATCATTATTTTCTGTCTTCTTAATTCTTTTTCTTTTATTGTCCTCTCTCTACATGATAATGTTGTTTCTCATATTCGTTAACATTCTTACGTCTTAGTGGCTTTATTACATTTCTTGGGGTCAAATGATTAAAAAAAAAGTTTTTTAGTGATACATCGAAATGGACGACATCTTTCATATTCCCCCGACACAAAGTAAGGTCTTCTCTGGATGGAGTCCTGATTTTTATCGGCACTGGTTTCTTTTATTTCTGATAACTACTGTGTTTTTCTTTTTCTGTTAACATGCAAAACTCATTTTTCATCTCCTGTAATAATGCAATGAAAATAAATGAAAAGTTTATCAAACCTCTGAGTTTGGCAAAACTCTACTTGTCACACTCTCTTTGCCTTCGGGTGGACAGGAACCCAGACGAGGCTAAGCCAATGGGTAGAGTCTCTTCTGAGGAGTTTGACAGCTACCCGACCTCGTGTATGCGGGGTCTACGGAGAAATTTTTGTTCTAGCGTAGACACTCGGAAAGTCCCACTTCAATCCGGCCTTCTGCCACACCCCGCTCTGTGTGGAGCTCGGGTAAATACTGACTCGGGCTTGTTGGTTCTTTTCGAGCCGTAGGTACACAACTACACACTCGTAAACACGTATACACACTCTCAACGGCCACGCAGACCGTTCAGTCCGTCAGAGCCAAATGTTCACTTTACAGCCTGCTCCCCACTTACAGGTACATCCACACACGGCGTTCGTTTGACTTATTTTCTCCAGCGACTAAATAATTTCATGTTCAATAACATATCTCCATTTTCAATGTGATACAGCCGTAAGCTACATCACGTTGAAAAATAGTTTCCCGTACGAACACGAAGTTAAGCAACGTTGAGCCTGGTCAATAACCAGATGGGTGACTACTTGGGAATACAAGGTGCTGTAAGCTTGTTTACGCTGGTGATGTCATAGATAATGGCTCGGAGTCAGTCGTTGGAGAAAGGAAGTCAAACGAATGTCATGTGTGGATGTGTGGATGTATGTGAGGAGCAGGTTGTAAAGTGCAGATTTGGCTTTGATTGACTGAATGGTCTGCGTGGTGGTTGAGAGGGTGTATAGGCTACCTTGAATTTTCTTACCTTCAATGTTTTTACACGATTGACAAAACTGAAATTGTTAATTGATGCTTGATAGTCCCTATACAAATAATACATTTCGATGCACCTTTTCAAATCAAAATATAATTTCTGTGATTTATTTGATAGAAATTTATCTAGCGAGGAAAATATTCGCCGAATTTCCTGTTTTTCTTCACGCGGGCATGCCTCTTCTGATTTACCCATCCCTTTCATTAGCTTCCTCGCACCCAAATCTTATTTAACTGATGAATGACTTGTGTACATTGATTAGCATAAATTATCCAGCAAGACCAAGTCATCCAATAATTACCTACTGCTGCAAAAAATAGAACGGTTGTCCTTAGTCCTCCGAGAAACCTGAAACGTGATACACGGAATGGGCTTCATTCAAATCAGAACAAGGAAGTTTGTTCATGATTTAATCACGTTTCTCATGCATAAGAAATACACAACACAATTGTGTTGATTACCTTTGGTCCCATGTACGCAGAAAGCCCCCTTTCGGCCTTGGGTCACATTGTATTTGAGGTGTGCAGCTAAATCACACGACTGAGTTGTTTTTACTCGAATAAATAAAACTCACACTTTAACTATGAAATGAACTTAGCAACATAAAAACTAGTGTGATCAAGGCCCTCCACAACCATCTATCGTTTGTTGATCGAAGTACATAGCCCCTTCTTCTGGGGTTCTCTTTGGCGACCATGTCAATTAATACACTATTGAATTCCTTCTCTCTCTTCTCTTACTTTCCTCATTCGGGTGATGAAATGTTTTGGGGCTCGGAGATTAAAGACATCAACAAAAGGGATTTTGAACTTACTACTTTATTAAATACGTCGACGTGTACATTTCTAACTCGCGGGTCGTGGGGGGCGCTCTCTTACCCTCACTGGGGAACAAGTTCCAAGACAAGAAAAACACTACGTCTACAGTGTTCAACGTGTAAAACTTAACTCACTGAAATCCCTTTCTAACATTCCCACGCTAATTTCTGTCAATCGCAATCGACTTCCTTTGTTTTCCCGTATCTGACCTCAAAGGTCAAAATGAGGAAGTCAAAGCAGAATACAATTCTCTAAAACATAAATCTGCTGAACTATTATTTAACAGAAGTATCTCTTGTTGTTTAATATTCCTCTTTAGGTTTTTGGCCCTTGTTCTACTGTTCGTTAACTCGAAAACTTCAAGTAGTTTACCCGCTGTTTTACCCTCCTCTGTTTGCTTTCTGTCAGTGTTATATACTCCAAGCCTTCTTTTCTCATTGTCTTTTTCTGCTTGCAATCAACAGTTACTTTGTAGTTTCTATTTTCCTTAACCCTTTCTTCTTTGTTACAGACCTTATCCCACTTCTTAATTGCTGTTGTTCGCAGGTCCACTCTGAACTGGGGTGGTAGCACCTGTTAGGGTCCCAGTTATAGGCAAACAGGGTACTTACAAACGAAAAAGAAAAGACTATCAAAGTATACAAATACATTTTCATAGTAAAAATACTAGCAATACATTTTTATATAAAAACGACCTATAGTAAAATGACCAACGATACATTTACTCTGTAGTTGAAACCATAAAATTGTGTTCAAAACATTTAGATATCAGCGTAAAATAACACATAGAGATGATATGCCGCTAAACAAAATCTACCAAACAACCAACATGAAAGAAATCTTTCATGACAATAATATATGTAATATCATACACTTTCTTAAATAAAATGGTATTCCAAACTATAACTTTAAAAAGATTACATTCACTTGCGCGGAAGGCCACTGGGAAAGATATGGACCAATTTCTTTTCGTAGCTATGGAACTTGTCTGAAAAATATAATTGTTACTAATTTAAAAAAATTACAATGCAATATTCACTCGCAAAAAAAATAGAAGAATTATCTTTACAATAAAAAATGTTTCAAATCGCCTACAAAAGGGTTGATAAGCCGTAAGAAACAAATAATACAATCATCCAGATCACTGCCATACAGAAGAAAGGTACTTGTGCTTCGGCCCTATGCTGGTGGTATCATGGCTATGTCTAGGTTGGACCGGCTTGGTTTTGGACCAGTTATGACAAGCCAAGACCATCTCTGACTAGCTTAGACCAGCTCTGACCAGCTTGGACAAACTGTGACCAGCTAAGACTAGGTTAGACCAGTGGCCCGAGTGTTTCAACTCGGGTTCCCCACGTTAAAACCGACCTTGTGTCACATCCTGACACAGTGGGGCGTCAATTAAATATCCAGACAGAAGATAAGACTTTGCATCATATCTGATGTTATTTATTGATTCTTATATAGTTCGCGCAGATATGATTACTTATATAAGCCTATCAAAAACTGATCCAGTGTCTATGAAGTAAAGAGTGCTGAATAGGTTACATCCTACATGGCAGTGAATTCTGGATGATTTCGTCACAGTTGAGTGAATGATTTGTTTTTACGGCTCATCAACACTTGTTTATTTAAAGCCGAAACATATTTTGAATAGCAGGAAGAATATTTTTTCCTGGCGAGTGAATGTTTCATTAACAATATTTTATTTTATAACAACAATATATCAAGTTACAAGTACTACTATTTAACTCATATCTGGGGGACAAAATATTTTCATAAATTTCCTCAGGTTTACTGATATTTTTAATTCTTCTGAAAACCGATTTACAGCCATATAACGTTGAAACACCGGTTCTCGTAAGATCACAGAAGTTAAGCAACGTCGAGCCTAGTAAGTACCTATATGGTTGACCGCTTGGAAATATCAGAAATATCTGTAAGCTTGGATGTGCGTATACTCTAATGGAGAATGGCTCAAAATTGTTAATCGGAGAGTAGAGTTCCAATTTCAGTCGGGTTCGTTAAATTCACTTACGCGCAAATACTCTTGGGAAAGGCATGAAACTACATTTTCTCTTCCAGTTATGGGTTAATTTGTAAGACTTGTATCACTGAATCATTATTATCTCCAAAAAAAAACAATAATTAATTCTCAGAATCTAAAAATATTTTCTGGCTTTAAATAACCTGCAAATGATTGATAAGCCGTAGAAAACGAATCGAGCAATTTTGTAAAATCCCAAACTCTCTCTACATTATATAATTGTGATTTTTAACCTATAAGATTAATACTATATTAAGTAACACAACAAACTATTAATATGATGTTAACCTAATAAAATAATACAGTACTTACTCAATTATCTGTACGTCAATTTTCCGGAATTCTGTTATCCGAAGCCGAAATGAAGAGAAAAACTAAAATCAACCGAGTAGTTTTCAATTATCCGAACTAAAACCATTCTGATATTTTATCTCGGACAACCATTTTCCAAAATCTTAACGTTCAAAATTTCAAACACCAAAGCAGTGATTATGTTTAACAAATGTTTTTTAATCATTTCGCGCAAAGCAAGGTCACAAAGCGACTAAAACGCAAAGGGGTTACTGTATATATATATATATATTTCTCATGTTGTCTGTCTGTGCGTCTGTCGTGGGCGTTGTTACCTCGCTCAGGCCGCGTTTCTCACCAGATTTCGATGCGGTTTTCAACACAAGTTTGCAAATGGCTGCCGTAAGAACATGACGGAGCCCGATTTTTGAGTTCGGAATCAGGTTCCGAAAAATCGATAATCGAAAAAATCGATAATTGAAAAAATTCTGCTTACAGAAGGAATGATCGCATTTCAACCAAATTTGACACCCTCTTAGAGTCTACCATTAGAAGTGTTGTCCATAAGTTTCATGACCACGGACCCCTAAGCAGCACGGAAAATCGATAAAACCCCAAAACCGATACGCCCAGATTGCGTCTGAACCGCATGTCGGTTTTTAGCGAAAACCGAGCGGATTTATGAAGAGGCCATTGGGAGTCATCATGTGAAATTTCAACTCTGAGCACCCCCCAAACAGAGTGCAAATCAACAATCGGTCAACCCTTGAAAATGTTTTTTCAGGTTTTTTAAAGCTGATCGTATTGTGTTTATTTTGTTTAGTTCTTTTTTCGTAACAGATTTAATGTTTACTATAGAGCTGAGAAAAATTGGCAGTGTGATATAGGCAAGAAGTAAGGCATGTAACAACATCAGCACGGCAAAGGACACTCCTCTAAAGGCAAGGAAGGGCAAAAATATTTTAAGTCGAGTGATAGCGATTGCTGTATTAGTCGTACTATTTTTGAATCAAGTACGGGCAACGCTGCTAGTATATATATATATATATATATATATATATATATATATATATATATCATCCACAGACAGACTGTTTCGCTGTATCACAGCTCATCAGTGTATCTAGACACCCAATCGCTTCAGGCCGGGACGGAAACCCAACAGATTTAGTATTAGTAGGATAGTCTACTCACTAAGTCATCGGCGTCCGACGAGAAAGGTGAATTTTTGTCTAATTTTTCATAAACACACCAGTCACTCAGAGAAGTCAATCACTGGGAGACTCTTGCATTATCCCCAGTGATAGTGACTGTTTAGAAATTCGTTACCCCACAGTGTTCAACCGATTAAATTATTTTATCGAGAGCTAATATCGTCATCCAGACAGACTGTTTCTCTGTATCACAGCTCATATAATCACAAGACACGAATCAAAAATATGTAGAAACAAAGTATAATATATACGAAAAAATCCACATAATAGCAAAAAACTTTGCAGCTTCTTTTTTTTAGATATATATATATATATATATATATATATATATATATATATATATATACGCGTTCCATATTAGTCGATTTAAAGCAGTGCTCGATAGGATAACCTAGTGCTTTATACATATAAATATAGATAACTAGACTCGTTTCGAAAAAACCTCGAATTTTTGATTTGCTAATCAAATCAATATCGAGGGAAAAAAAAGTTTTAAAAAAGAAAGAGCTACAAACATGAACTGTCGACAAAAAATCGCACAGATGCAGGTCTGAAGCCCAAAGAAAAAACCCCGATACGAGTAAACAACTAACAAAGCGCTCAATACAACCGTAGAGCAGACCTAGATACACCTAGTGAGCCAGACAAACCTACCTAAGGTTTCACCTAAACGGATCGTCGGCGTCTTGACTTTCCCTGACGATCCGTTTAGGTGAAACCTAGGTAGGTTTGTCTGGCTCACTAGGTGTATCTATATATATATATATATATATATATATATACAGGATTGGTATATACAGAATAAATTCCAATAACCAAAAAATAGTGTTCTTAAAGGAGTGCTTAATACAGAGTAGAGCAATTATAATTTATTCGATAATTATAACATAAATATGTTATAAAATCACTACAAAATACTCATTTTGTTTCAACACTTCTGGTTATCAAGTGATGGTTTTGAATGTAACAAGATTCAGCATCTTCATAAGATATATATATATATATATATATATATATATATATATATATTTGTATTTTGTTATAATCATCGCAACACAGGAATTGCCATGTTTCAAAACTGAACATTGTTCTTCCCTATTATTTCAATATATATGATTCGTGTGTTAATGATATTAGAATAATTTAGATATCTTACAGATATACTTCCTTTAATTTACTTGTGAGATATAGCGGCAGAAAAACAAAAAGCAATATCGAAATCAGATTAAAATCGATACATTTCTTTTCATTTTTTTTTTTTTGATGATATTGTTAAATTTCCCTACGTCAATTTAATTTTGTTACTTTATGTATTCCAGGCTTCCTTGATAAACACTGCGCCTCACAAGGTTCACTACTTCACCCTACCCTCTTTCTCCTTTAGATTAAGGATCTGCCTAAGATAATGGAGAGTTTATCACCTCCCCAAAAAATCAAGATGAACAGAGGCTGGAAGCCGATCTTTCTTCTCAACTAACAATAGTATAATGGAAAACCTGGCTTTCAATACAGCAAAAATCTAGCTAGTACCCATTCATCACCACCGAGCTAATACTAAATTCTCACTTGTTACGATAAATAGCCGCACTCTCAAAGAGGTTCCTTGCTTTGAGTGTCAATATGGGTGGAATAATTTTACAAAGAAGTTGATCAATTTTTTTCTATTTCTTAATACTTAATTTGGAAGGCGTCATTCGCTATTCCAACGTGACTCTGGATATCGATATAACATTTTCCATGTCTAAAACATATCCTAGATATTTAAATTTCTATACTTGCGTGAGTCTTCAATCTTTTCGGGGGCGGGGGTGGTTGTTCCTCTTGCTGAAAACCTTACATTAGATTTTTTTCCAATTGTTTTTATACCTGCAGACGTTTTTAAAACATATGCCAATATGGTCACAACCTATCGAAATTAATTGACGCCAATATTTACACTGTTCACTGGTTAGAATTCCGTGAAAACATTCATTCCTTTTTATAATTTCATTGCCGTTGGATTTAATTGTTTTCATTTCTGCTTCTTCCTTGTAAAAACATACGGCACCTTGAAGAAGGTTTCTACCCAGTCTGCAAAATTTAACGGTGCTTACAATTAGAGAAAACTTTCGTTGTTATGATAACATTTTCACCCTGATCTCGAAAATGATTTCCGAACTTTTTCAGTTGCCCTGCTCTTTATCTCGTAAAAGATTAGGTTAATGTATGTAATGATATTTCAACCCTTGAGAGGTCATTTTATCGCGAAGGCAGTCCTTCATGTGTGTGTGTGTGTGTGTGTGTGTGTGTGTGTGTGTGTGTGTGTGTGTGTACGGTGCGATGGACAAAACGAATAACATGGGTTTTATTGTACGGAATATAACAATGAGTAAGAGTTCTTAATAATTATAATAAGGAGAACGGGAGATACGTTACGGAGACCCGTAGTGGTACTGCTACTACAATACTTCGTCACGTCTTTTATCTTCTCCTCATTCACGTCTCCTTAGACTGACCAATCACTGCCGGGATGTGATAGGTTGTTCCACTATAACAATTTACGAAAATTACACAAAAATATTTTGAAATACTAACGAATAAATGTAACCGATAACATCGCCATTGGCTTCAAATACGGCCCCCATGCGACTTCGGAATCCCCGGCACCTCCTCTTCTAGGATGTATCCTTTTTTAAGATGGTGAATGCTCCCATAAGACTTGCTTTCAGTTAATCTTTTGTAATACAAAGAGTTTTGTTAGTTTCTCGCTCAGTTGCATCCCACACATAATGATGAAGCGAGGGCGTGCATTCCAGGGAGTTGATTGCCATATGTAAGTGTTGATGTAGTCGCAAAAAAATGTCTGACAGCCATGACCGAGTTTTCCTGCTTGTGTGGCATGGTGCAGAGTCCTGTTGTCAGACATAGCGTCTTCCAGTAGCCACCGTCTTGACACAGGGCAGCTCATCAAGGCACTTGATGTAGGCCTCCGTGTTGAGTCTGAGGCCCTGTGGGAAGATGAATGGAGACAAAACATTGCCATCACTAGTGATCACTCCAAACACCTACGTAATCACTCTTTCAGAATCCTCTCCACTGTCCTCAGATGGACATCTAAACACACTGAAACGTTCGTATGGGAGCTTCCGAAATGAATGTCACGCAGTACAATATAGCTTTTACAAATTTCTGGCGGAGGGAATTGTATCATTATCCCTTTTATCACAGACGGTGCCCAACTGACCCTAACCTACTGTGTAATCGACAAAATCAAAAGCAAACGATGAACATACGCGAAATTAAAAAGTATAAAATAGCAACAATGTAACCATCACATATACACTCACACAATATATATATATATATATATATATATATATATATATATATATATATATATATATATATATAAAAAAGAACAGTAAGATATATAATCCGGTGTTCTTATAGATATTTTTGTTTTCACAAAATAGTGCTCAATGTAAATTTACATGAGAAACAATATATTACTAGGTTTATATAAAAAATAAAAGTTTACTAAATCAGTGAAATTAAGTAGCTAATTTTGCCGTCATTGTCATAAATTTTACTTAAATAATATTCAAATATAAAAAAAAAACTTGTAACCTAATAATTTACATACTTATACTTGATGTGATAATAATTCTACATACAGTAAGGGATTCTAATTACATTTAATTGTTCTTAAAAGAAATATAGTATATTAAAAATTAAAAATTAAAATATTTCAAATCGTAGTTAAATAAAAAGTATTCTAACATAAACACCCCCACTAAAATCTTTAAATATACAAATAGAAAAAAATGCCGTAAGAATTTTTGCCGTTAACAATAAAATTAAAAAAAAATCCAGACGACATGCTTTTAACGGATGTTAGATTTCATTGAAAAATCGATCCCTACCCCCTACCAAAACGTAACTAATAACGGATACATCAAAATACAGACATAATGAACACGCAGACACCCCTTGTCTAGTGGAAGTGGATTTATCTGTAACCTTGGAAATGTGAATTATGATTTTAGCAGTGTCTTTAAAACCCAGTAATTTTAAAAGTTACTCCAAAATTCGCTTGAGGATGAAATGGAACTAATGTCTTTAATTTAATTACAAAATTAAATTCGGGGCTTTTAGCTTCCATTTTTGAAACATGGTTAGAACTGTGTAGCGGAAAAAACATATTTTAAATCAATTAATTTCGAATTCCAGTCGGCTTAATTACCTACACTTACGTGCTAGAAACATTGAGAAAGGTATGAATCCATCTGTTCTTCTACCCAGATGGACAAATTGCTTTCTATAGCCTTGGTTGGAAACTGTTTAGGAGAAGGAAAAAGCTCTGGTTCCCAAACCTCCAACTATGGGTAATTTATTTCGCTTCCTAGATATGTAAAAGATTCGACAGATTTTATTGATCTACTGCTCTGGACACCTACCCTTGGGGCAAAACGAGCTTGTTGGCAGAGAAAACACCTACAATGACAGGATGCCACCCGGAAGAACTTCCGACCTAGATGCGCTAACGTTATGGATGGCATGATAGACTCATGAATGGCAGAGCTAGCTCGCTTGAATAAAAAAAATTAAAATGGTTATTTTCAAATTTTATTTTAATTGTTTATATTATTATCGTGTGTGTGTGTGTGTGTGTGTGTGTGTGTGTGTGTGTGTGTGTGTGTGTGTGTGTGTGTATATATGTAGGTACGGTGGAGGAAACGGAAAGCCGAGTTCGAATTCTAGTCGGGTTCATTACCCACACTTACGTGCTAATACCCGTGGGAAGGGTATGAATCCATCTCTTCTCCCTCCCAGCTAGGGATAAATAGCAGGACAGACAGGTTCCTATAGCCTTGGATGGCGAACACTTTAGGTGAAGGACAACTCTGAATTCAAAAACCTGCGGAAGGTCAATATCCTCCTAAGTAAAGATCCTGCATGGTACTTATATTACATCGGAATATTTAATGAAAATGCTAAGAAATTAGTTGAATTTTCCGGAACACATAACGCGGAAATGGTCATATAAAGAACTTTAGTAAGTGTATAGCTGAACCTGAACTGGGGGGAATAGTAAGGAAATAATCATTGCTTAGTGCTGTAAAGAATAGGAAGATGTGAAGAGCCATAGCTGCCAACGTCCTTAATGAGAACAGCACGTAAAAAAATATATATGAATTCGTAAACACGCCATCCCTCCGACCCCTTTTCTACTAATGGAGGGAAGCGAAACTTCCTTTTTCTGTTGTATGTAATTATAAGGTAATCTTATAAAATGGTTTCGACAATTGTTTTGATTCAAGTAGTCATTTAATTTAGCTTTGAAGAGTGTTAGTGCTTCGTTTTTTACAATGTCTTTCCTTTGTATTTGCAGTGTTCAGCAATGATTGCAAGACGGAGACAACTTGCGGGACGTGCATTCAGCGAAATGGTACTTGTGGTTGGTGTCTTTCTCCAGTAAGTTTCTTGATAACAAACAAGATTTGTATCAACTTGATCAATAAGAAACGCTTTTCTGGACTTTACTGATTTCTTTGCTGGTCAGGAAAACCGTTATTAGTGTGTAAATTCCGTACTGAATGTTTTATGGAAATAATTTCCTGTCTAATCAAATGACAAAATGGAAAACAAAATCGTCCTATATATATATATATATATATATATATATATATATATATATATATATATATATATATATAAAATATAGAAATGGTATATACGGAATAAATTCCAATAAAAAACAAATACTATTCTTAAAAGAGTACTCAATACAGAGTAGACCAAAAATATTTTATATTCAGCACCATCACTTGATAGGACACCAGAAGTGTTGAAACAAAATGGCTATTTTTTGTAGTGATTTTTATAACATATTTATGTTATCATTTTCGAATAAATAATTATATATAATCATTATATATATATATATATATATATATATATATATATATATATATATAATGTGCAGGCTTCATTAAATATGACAGACAAGGTGCTTTAAGTTTTTTTTTTTATATGATGTCTCATATGATCTAATATTTTTTTCTTTTCAGTCGATAAGTTAGACAAAAACTGCCCAAATGTTTTCTTTTTCCGGGCGCTTTGTATGGAATATATTTACTATTTACTGGAAATGGATTGTTGTATGTATGTATTTAGTATTATAGAATGTTTTTTTTTTTAAATATTGTGTCCATGCTCATAGTTGATATCATTGAGTATTTTTTGTTTTAATTAATAAGTTTTCAATTACTTATAATCTTTTTTTTTACATGTAGTTGATGCTATTATATTTGTATTGTCAACAAATATGTTGTGAATAGGGCCTGTTAAGTCTCCATGAGTATTTAAATGAGACCTAACTGAGGTATGCTCAGAAAGTTGTAGCGTGAGTCTCTTTCTCTCTCTCTCTCTCTCTCTCTATATATATATATATATATATATATATATATATATATATATATATATATTGTCATCCACAGACAGAATGTTTCGCAGCTCATCAGACATCCGATTGCCTTAAGCCGAGATTGAAACCCGAATGATTTGGTATCAGTCGATGATTTACCTCTAAGCCATAGGCGCACGACAGGGATGAATGTGAATTTAGACGTATTTATTTTTAGACAAACACGCCAGTGACCGGAGAACTCGATTTGCCTTAACGAAGAGTCTTGCATCAGCAGGAGTAATATATATATTTATATGCGCGGTACTTTGTGGAAAGTGTTCAATATCTGTGATAGAGCTAATATATTCAGTTATATGGATGTTTGTTTTGTAACCCTTTTGCGATCTTCAAACTAACTGGTTTATTTTTTTTTAAAGTGGATCTATTTCGGCTTATTTGTGTTTGATTATTTGTGTGTGGTGAAGGGGAGACTTTCTTCTGTGTTTGTTTGGGCTGAAACTCTCACATACATATACACCCATACATACAGGTGTATGCATTTTATTTCGTACAAACACACCCATATAAATAATTTGAGTTTAGGCGCAGATTCACATACGAGCATACATATATACGCAATTTTCATTCTATTTCAGTGTCGAGACTGTAGTGTTACATATGTAACCCTCTGTAAGTCTGATATATAAATTTGTACATCATATCTTACATATGATCTTTTGCAAATACGGGATAAAAAATCCTTGTAAAGGTAAGCTATTATGACTTTCCGCAACTGCCTTCTGTTTAATGAATGTGATCAGACATGGCTATTATCGGAAAAGTTTCTCGATGTCTTCTCCACTATTTTGAATTCATTGTTGTCATTCTAGATTGCTTTCTCTACCAAGGCTAGTGACTCCAGCTTATCTGTTTATTTTTTCCATATCTGATGGAAGGGAAAATGATCCTTAGACCTACGTTGTTTCTTATCTTCATCAATGATCTTCCCATTGACATCAGTTCCAAACTATGTATCGACACATATATTTACTCCTGTTTTAATAGTAAGCCCGATAGGTTTCTCAAAGGCAAACAGGCAGATTTTCTTGAAAATAACCACCAATCAATTGTTAACTGGGGCAAGAAAGGACTTGTAAATTTTCTACACCTCAGTAACGAAACCGTTATCATGTAATCATCATAGAAAACCTTTTTTCCCTCCGTCAACATGGCTGATGCTAACCTCCAAGAGAGAAAGTCATTGCGAATGCTTTATTCCTCGTTTTCTACTGAAATCAAGTGGTGCGATTATATTAATCAGTTGTTTGGTCTGCTGCTAATAATGTTGGTTCTTTGTGTCGTGCCATAAAATTTCCTCGTCAGAATATATCGTCCACATTTATAGACTTGCCATTCTTGCATGCATTGAATAATGTTGCTGTATCTGGTCTAGTCCTCCTACTGCATATATCGAGATTCCCGATGCAATTGAAAAAGGCGTATACAACATTAACAGTCCTGACCTGTTATCTCAACTTCAGTCACTTTCCCACTGATGTGACGTGACTATTCTGTAATTTTTATGACAGCTATTCTAATGAGTATCCGCAGTGGTCAGCAGTCCCCTCTATCTCACAATTATGGTTCATGTTGATATTCAAGGCAGAATAGTGCAATGCCATTTTGCACTGGGGATGTTGAGGTTACCAAGCCCCTACTATCAGAAGTTAAAGAGGCAAGGCCTAAAATCTGGTGTGTGGTTTGAATTCAGAGTTTTCCTTCCAGCCAACCAATGCTATAGGGCCAATTCTGTGCTACTATTTACCCATAGGTGTGGGAGAGATATTCATACGTTTCCCAAGGGTATTAAGGCGTAAGTGAATGCAATGAACTCGACTGGAATTCGAACTCGTCGAACTTTTCAGCCGTTGTACGTTCCGGCCTTCTTCAGGTGGGTGGAATGTCGAACTGAATCCTTTATTTCGCTCACCTGGATATACTGTTCTAGTTCCAAGTGCCATGTTGAATGGTTGTCAGTTATCAGTTATCTCCAAGTTCTCCACTGCCTTAACCAGGTATTGAACTCACACTCTTTGTGTCCTGTCACTGGATCTAACCAACGCCTTTATCCACTGTGTCATGTATCTCTGAGGACATCTGTGTACGAATTTCTGGGTATTATAAACCTAATGTCTTCAGCAATCATTTTATACCAATGCTCATATTGCAATTTTTGCTGTTATCATTGCATGTTTTTACCAGAACAATCTACCTCATGAGTGAAATAAAGGGTCCAGTTCGACATTCCCACAACCTGAAGAAGTCCGGAGCGTACAACGCCCGAAACGTTGTAATAAATATGTCAACAAAGATGAGGACAATAGTCCGAATAATGTAAATAGTGTACATAATACCTCATCTCAGAAACATAGACAGAAACAAAAAGACTGTTAAATATATATTTTTTCAAAACATATAATAGGGAACTGAAAAGCAAAAATATAGAATAGTTGAAGGAAAGCTTTTCCTGTAATATACTTTGATCATTTTAATCATGAAATAATAATGCGAAATGAAATTTGAGCTCACTAGAAAACAATTCACTGTTAATACCTCATTATCGAATTGTTCTCTTTTTCTGTTGGTATGGTAAGCCGAAAAGTGCACATCCTACGTGTGTCCGAACAAAATATTACCAGGCCCCACTGCAAGCCGAGTTCAAATTTCACCCGAATCTGTTACGTTCATTTTCGCAAAAGTACCCGGCAGAAAACTTCAATCTTTGCTTACCTTTCAAACAGTTCTTATATAATTTTATTAAACTGACTACTGTCTCGTTTAAATGTTTCGCTTTATTTTTTTTTTTTTTTTTAAGGAAAATTGGTTTATATTTAAAACCCTTCTCCAAAAATACCAAGTTTATTAATTTTGTCTGTTTCCTATTTCTAGGACTATAAAGGTAACTTCCGGTGTGAGACAAAAGAGCGCTTAATAAGTTCCGGCTGTCCTGAACATAAAGTCCTCCAATCAATCAACAGTGCTCACCTGCAGAAGGTAAGAAAACCTGTCTACAGATGATTTATTATTAATATACGATTTGATAAAAGATTTAAAAATTACAACCTTTTGCAATAATACCCACTGAGGATGCATACATCTCTGAAGCAAAATATATAATTTTTTTTCCACAGGCTTTCCTTACTAGTCAAGTCATGGACCGTTCTCTAAAAATATTCTGGTTCTTATATGGTATAAATCATTATTTCAAAGTACAAAATAATTCTTTCGTGAATTAGAAAAATCCAAAAATTCATTGGCATAGCGCAAGATGCAAAGTATAAAGGGCATAAAATGAGGAAAGAGGGCTTTGAGAATTTGATACTCACAGGGCACATTGAAGGCAAGCGGGACAGAGGAAAACAACGAATAACATACTTAACGTGCTTGTTTAAATGATTGGCAAAACAAGGAGTGGGAGAGGAACTAAAAAAAAAAAAAAATGGAGACCAAATTTACTAAGCACCGCGAGGGACAGACAATAATGGAGAACTGTGATCGCTAACGTCCCGAAGGGATACGGCACATAGAAGAATTGAAATGAGGAACTGTCTGATTTGGTATTCAGGCTAGCATGATCATCTTATAGTTACAATGTTTCGGCCGTCATACATCCCGGCCTTCTTCAGGTGTTTCTTTCCACTGCATAGAATACATTTCTAAACATACTTAAGAATTTCTGATCAGTAATTGACCTTTTCTGTCGCTTTCCTGTTTCGGTTTCGTGAAGAACAAATGCAAAGAACAAATTCACAATCGCTTTGGTAGTCCAGGGTATGACGATAAAATACAACCCACCAGCAAGGCCTCTGATGGGAAGATTGGAGGATTTGAGGAGCGTGGAATCACCTCTTAATTGCTGCTATTTCCCGGTCAGCCCTGGAAGTGGTTCTCCACAACTTTCTATTTTTTGTTTATCGAAGTAACTCTTGTTACTTAATATTCTTCTTCAGGTTTGTGGTCAAGTAGCTTACTCGCTGTTTTACCCTGCTTTATTTTCTTCCAATACACACTATCAGTGTTATATACTCCAAGCCTTCTGTTCTCATTGTATTTTTCTGCTTGCGATCAACAGTTACTTTGTAGTTTCTGTTTTCCTTAACCCTTCCTTATTTGTCAGAGAATTTATTCCTGATAATCTCAACATTAGTGAAAGAACATTTGTCGCATCAATTCTTTTTTTTTCATCTGAAACGCCATTCATCAAAGATATAGATCTATCCCTTCTCTTAGTCCTGGGTATGACGATAAACTATATCCGGCAGCAAGGCCTCTGATCGGGAGATTGGAGGTTTTGAGGAGCGTGGAACCACCTCTTAATTTCTGGTGTTCCAAGGTCCACCCTGAACCGGGTGGTAGCGCCAGTTAGGGTCCCAGTTATGGTTAAATAGTGAAATCGCCAACCAAAAACACCATGAAAGCATAAAAATACAAGCAATACATGTTTATATAAAAAGGTTATATATATATATATAATTTTTAACGTTTATTTTTAATAAATTTCACTCAGTGCAATTCTTGAGATATTCAAGCGAATTATTTTATAAATTACTGTTAAGTTCCCAGCCATAGGAAAATAGTGAAGCCTCCAAACAAAAACAAAACACTAAGAAAGTATAAAAATACATTTTTATAGCAAAAATACTAGGGATACATTTTTATATAATATACTTTACCAACAATAAATAAAATTACCACCAATATATTTTATAGTAAAATGACCAACAATACCTTTTATCTGTAATTGATATAATAGAATTGTATTTAAATATTTAGATTTTAGCATTATATAGCCCATAGAGGTGTTGATATGCCGCTGTCATGGATTTGGCCATGAGTTTCTGTCTTAGTTGGTTAGCATCTATCCTGTACAAATATGACATTTTACTGCGTCAATGAAGTTGGGTGATGTTTGTTCATGGGTCATTTTCCTATTTTCTGAATCATTTGCTAAGTCTTGCAAAACCTACGCTTAACGGATTTCGCAAGCATTAAAAGAACGAGTAAACGTCAAAGAATCGTGTAAAAAGAAAGCGAGTGACTTTTGAATCTTTTTTCAATATTAATCACTCTTGTATTCTTCCCCTGCAATTATCTATCTATCTCTATATATATATATATATATATATATATATATATATATATATATATATATATATATATATATTACGTTTCACTTTTTACTAAATTTAAAAATTTCAAAGGACGAGAAAACTTCAAAGGAACGAAGAGCTGATATACCGCTAAACAAACTCGGCCAACTAAAGATTATGAATTCGGCCATGAGTTTTTATCCTATTTGGATTCCTATAATGAAAGTATTTATCATGGTTAGCGCCTATCCAGTCTAAATATGTCATTTTACCAACAATACCAGTTCATAGCAGAATTACCAATAATATATTTCATCTATAGTCGAGGTCCCAAGATTGTGCTCAAAATATTTAGATTTTGGCCTTAAATGACCCTTAGAGCTTGATATGCTGCTAAACAAAATCATGCAACTAATAATCGCCTTGAAACCTGATATGTTTTAAGAATGAATATATGTACCTGCGCATTATTATCCTCATATTTGTTATTATTATGCTTAGGTGTATATCGGATTTCAGGTAATCCGAACTGAAACTTTTATTCAATTTACGGTGTTAGACTGTTTTCCTACCATTGTCCATGTCTGGGGATATCTTGTATAGTTTATATTGAAGTTATTGAGTTTAGTTATTGATCGCTCTGTTTCCACTGAGTACAAGCACACACTATCCGGCCCAGGGATTGAACTCGTAATTACTATGTCACCAAAATCGTTCTGAGTTGAGATCCATTACACCACCCGCACATCCATATGATTGCTAGCTGATGTATAATCAGATAGGATAACGGTTATCTTCTCATTTTTTAAATCTAGTTCACCCTTTGTAAGGCAGTAAAGCCACTAAGACTCAAGGGGTTACTAGGTATGAAAGAATTAGAAAAAAGAAAACATTATGAAGAAGCGAAAGCAACAGAAGAGCAATCAAGAAGACTGAAGATAACGATTGACATTACATTTAAATTTTTGAAGGTCAAAATTGGCCGGCAAGCATGGAACCAGAAGAAAGTTCTACAATTGAGAAGTGCGAAAAAAAATGTTAGCATAGAACATATGGTTACATCTAGCCAATTCAATTGTAAAATGTTATGACCTAATTGCCAATCAAGTAATGCGTTTAAATTCATAAAGCATAGGTACCATAACGAAGAACTCATCAGAATTGATCGAAGATGATCCCCTACATGCTGAAATGACATGTTTCATGTAAGAAGAATCTTTTTGGGGGGTTATGTTATTTTTTTAAAATTTCCTTCTTCCTTTAGGATCTATGCGATCAAGGCTCTCCACAGATTCCTTTTCTTTATCAGTGTATTTGCCATAACCTCTAAAAAAAAGATGGCAGAGTGTATTCTTGTTGCCTTCTCTAAAGTTTAAATTTTAGTGTTGCCCTTCTTCTGTTGTGTGTGCCCTTCACGGCTCGGGGCCCCAGTCTGCCCTGCTATTTAAACCATATTTGGGGGTAGGTTAAAAAGTAAATGGATTTTTGCCTTCCCTAAGAATAAATTAAACGCAACAAACTACGTCGGAATTTGAACTCCGTCTTGAACTCACCACTTTTCGCGCCGATGACAATGAAGCTACCTGTTCATCTGGCAGTTTCATAGATTTTATAAAAATAGAAATATTCTGTTTCGCATGACCCATTTGTTTGTCTAATAGCATATCAACTCTTCATGGGTCATTTAAATTCCAAATGTAATTTTCTTGCTAGATTTGAAGTAATAAAAACATGATAATTAATGACAACTGTCCTATTTCTTGGTTGATTGATTCAATCGATTTCTACTGATTATCGACCCTTTGAAGATTATTTGATGCCAAAAAATATTTTTAGATTGTAAAAATTTTTGCAGGTAATAATGATTTACTGATACAAGTCTTACTAATTAACCCATAGCTGGGGAGAGAAGAGAAGAGGATTTATACCTTTCCAAAGGTTATTTGCGTGCAAATGAATATAACAAACAGAAAGGGAATTGGAACACAGATCTTCGATTAACAACTGCAAGTTGCACATCCAAGCTTACAGCACCTCGGATTCCCAACCTGTCACCCATCTAGGTAATAGGCTCAACGTTACAAAACATAGGTGATCGAACGGGAACCTATGTTTCAACGTGATATGGCAATAAGCTTCGTAAATGTCGACAAAGAACAAGCTAACAGAAATATAGTAATTACGATTGGATAAGTCAAATTGGATAAAAAGAAAGAATTGGCGTTGCTCCTTTTCATTTTATGAAAATGTACTTTCTTTCTATCAAACATATTATCTAGACTTACTCACAAACATCCTGACAATTAGGCTACATTGCATTTACTTACACACATCCCATATTGAACTGCCGAAAGAAATTATCTTCTCCTTCCGTACGGATAGATCTGAGTAAGGCCGTAGAATCAATCCGCCTAAACATTGTGTTGATAATCTCAAAAACAGAGAAAAAAATGGCATGTTTTTGATTCTTATTGACTTTACAGACTGTCATTTATTCTTTCATTATAATTTCCATTTAATTTGTCCACTACCCATTCTCCAATTTTCCTGAATAGCGAGTTCGATCCTCGCTGGATGCGCCATAATTTTGACCTTTTATACCTATCGATAATTTTGCCACATCTAAGCGTAAAAACCGAAGCAATGACAGACTCCAAAGCTAAATTAAGTGACTATTTGAATCAAAACCATTGTCAAAACCAATTTCTAAGGTTACCTTATAATTAAAGACAGCAGAAAAAGGAAGTTTCGATTCCCACCACTTGTAGAAATGGACTCAGACGGATCGCGTGATATAAATACATATATATTCCTTTATGCGCTGTTCTCATTCAAGACGTTAGAGACTATGACTCTCCACGTCTTCCTATTCTTTACAGCAGATAGGTCTTCAGCTATAGTTGAAATATATTGTAGGTAATTCTGCTATAAATATGTATTATTGGTAATTTTACTATAAATAGGTATTGTTGTTAATATGCCATATTTATACTGAATAGACTCTAACCATTATAACCCAAGGTAAAAATAAAAAAAAAACAGAGGGGGGAAAAAGTGCTGACAATTTCATTTAGTTGGCTAGAAGGTAATTTTGAGACTCAGATAATGGCACTCAGCCGAGACATATGAAGGGAGCTGGTCAAATGCTCAGCTGCACATCGCCCCACCGAATTTCCCTCGGTATAAAAATAATTAAACCATCGATTTTGATCGATGTTTTTTAGGTTTTATCAACCATTTGCAGGTTATCTAAAGCCTGGAAACATTTTTAGAGAGTAAGAATGTTTCGGGGATAATTATGATTAACCAATAGCTGGGGGCAGAAGAGATGGATTCACAACACTCCCAATGTTATTTCCGCGTAAGGAAATATGACGAACCAGACTTGAATTGGAACTCTCCGAGCCTTTATTCAAAACACTACCCGCACACCCAAGCTTACAGCATGTGGTATTCTCAAGCGCCCCCTTCTCCAATTTAGATACTGACCAGGCTCGACGTTGCTTTACTCCGGTGATCGAACGAGAACCGGTGTTTCATGTGACATGGTCGTAAGCACTCCCCCACCGGTTTTGTTATTAACTCTTTGAGCCCTGACCACCGCTTTACAGGTGGTATAGTAAAATGACGTAATGCCCAGCCACAGGTTGAACAGTGGTAGAAAAAAATGATTTAATGCCCATCCACTGGTTGAACGGTAGTTAAACACTTGCGTCTTGTTTTGCTATTGGTTGTCTTATTTTGAAGAGCCAATCAGAAAAGCCGTAATATTCTGATGTCATCGAACGTTAAACCAACATGTCCGCACCTTTTCACTGTGTTTTGTGCATGTGTTTTGGATAAAAAAAATGATCGTTTTTACTATGAAGCGTGCAGAGTGTCAACTTGGACCGTCAGGGAAACAATTAGGGACAAAACGTGCGAGAAAGGAACTGGCAAAACTTTTTATTATCTATCTATATTTCTGAGATGAGGTATTATGTACATTATTTACATTATTCGGACTATTGTCCTCATCTTTGTCGCCATATTTATTACAACATTTCGGCCTTTCAGTATCTGTCTATATTTCTGAGATGAGGTATTATGTACACTATTTACATTATCCGGACTATTGTCCTCATCTTTGTCGCCGTATTTATTACAACGTTTCGGCCGTTGAATGCTCCGGCCTTCTTTAGGTGGTTGGAATGTGGAACTGAAACCTTTATTTTGCTCACTGTGGTAGACTGTTCTAGTTCCACGTGCCATGTTTGAGGACACATGGAACAGTGAATAATCAACTTCAAAATGGATCAATCAACTTCAAAATGGATTAACCAACTTCAAAATGAGAATGATCAACTTCAAATTGGATTAATCAACTTCAAAATGAGAAAATATAAACGTTCCTAAGAAATTTATTTAAAAGATTACATCATCTAAGTTAATTACAGATACGAAGTTAGTGGAAGTCTGAGGGGAAATATTATTAATTGCCTCGGAGATCATCGCTTCTAACTTGCTAAGGCGGAATTCTTTAGTAGTTAAAGATCCCTGGCCATCACCTCTTAAAATCCCAACAATTGAGTCTGTCCTACTTCTTTTTACGTCAGCTTTAATGACTGACCAAACGTTTTCAATGGGGTTTAACATCGGACTATTGGGGACAAGTCTGAAAATTTGGTGTTGCCTCAATTCATCCTCCTCCTCAACTTCTTCAACTGAAGTATGGTAAGGAGTGTTATCAATAACTAAGGCAACTCCCCTTTCATAAATTACATTTGCCTTTCTAAGGCAATCCCTGGTCCATTCTATCGCATCCTCTTTTTTGAAAGAACCTCTTTTAATTTTAGGATGACTTAATCCATTATTACTAATACATCCAATAACATGGATGTTATTTCCCCTGGATCCGGTCGCGACTGTAGTGCACCTTGTGCCTTTTTTAGAGCGACCTTCTCTTCTTGAAATATGGAGATTAAAATTGGTTTCAGCCATATAAAGAATTGGCACACTTTGGGACTGAAATTCTAATAAAGCTACTGCGTAATCCTTACGTTTCGCCTTATTGACATTATTATTGACAGCTTCTGGTTCATAATAAACCGCTTTTAAAATAAAGGCCATGGAGTCCAAGTGCTTTCTTATGCATTCTTTCGTCACACGAACCTCATACTTTTTGACATTTACAATGTCTTGAAGAGTGACCCTAGGAGAGTTTTCAATTAATTCGGCCATAAAATTCTTATGCTCTTGTGTAATTTTATATTTTCTTGCTCCTCCCCTAGAGTCACTCTTATCAGCACCTTGGTCTAACCAACGGTACGCTGTTGGCAGAGGCACCCCAATTGTTCTTGCCAGGTCTTTCCAATTTCCTGCTGCGGCATGTGCAGCTAAAATCTAGGCCTTTTTTTCGCCAGCCACAGTTTTCTTGAGGTAAGTCCTCTTTAGAGCTGTTGATAATTCTTCTTCAGCTTCTTTTATAGAGGTTTCTCCAGCATCATCATCAATCATCATTTTTCCCATACGGGACTTTCTTCTCCTACTTTTACTGTAGGCTCACCCTATGCTTTCTTGGCCTCTACGTTGTTTGTATTTTGGTTTTTTCTTCATCTATATAATGAAGACGAACAGTCAATTTCCTTACTCATGGTTTAAATCAATTGAAAAAAAATTCAATTTACCCCCCCAAAATATCTCAATTTGAAGTTGTTTATTCTTATTTTGAAATTGATTGTTTTTAGGTTTTTGACATTTTCTCAATTTGAAGTTGATTAATCCATTTTGAAGTTGATTGATCCATTTTGGAGTTGATTAATTTTTTTACTTGAAAGTAAGTCCATTTTGAAGTTGATTATTATCATTTTGAAGTTGAAAAGGTATAGTGACAGGACCCAAAGAGTGTGAGTTCAATACCCGGCTAAAGCAGTGGAGAACTTTCAGGGGGAAATTAACAGAAGATAACTGATAACTGACATCCATTAAACATGGCACGTGGAACTAGAACAGTCTACCCCAGTGAGCGAAATAAAGGATTAAGTTCGACATTCCAGCCACCTGAAGAAAGCCGAAGCGTACAACGGCCGAAACATTGTAATAAATATGGCGACAAAGATGAGGACACTAGTCTGAATAATGTAAATAATAAAACTTTTTATATCTACCGTGAAACATTACATACCAATTATTTGCGAATTTTTACTCAGTCGCTCAGTGCAAGAAGGGTTAAAATTGTTTAGGAAGGCAAGGATCAAAGGGTTAAGCAGAAATATTATGTTTGAAAGGTTTATTATTTCAGTTTTTTTGTTGGCCAATGTACTGACTTCATCGTTATTGTTTGTTTTTTTCTTTTTAACAGAACAGAAAAGTGACGAAAAAGCGGTTGTTGCAGCCACAAAAAGTTACGCTACAACTGGTCCCAAGTAAGCATGTTCGATATTATTTATTGATTAATAAAAAATATACTAGATTTTTTTCATTTCTTTTTTTTTTTTTTAAATCAAATCTTCGTTTGATGAGTTGCGCGTTAAAAAGAGATACAACAGCACACACAAGATCTTCTCGTGAGTAAAATTCATGTTGTGTGTTCGGCAATTATATGCAATTAAAGGAATAAATTAAGAGTTAAAAAATCCTGGTTGTTTGTGATAACAAAAACAACAAAAAGGTGAAGATCTTGGTCTGATTGCTTACGGCCATATCGCGTTGAAACACCGGTTCTCGTACGATCACCGAAGTTAAGTTAAGCAACACTGAGCCTGGTCAATACCTCGATGGATGACCGCTTGGGAATACCAGGTACTGTAATCTTGGATGTGCGGGTGGTGTAATATATAATGGCTCCGAATTGTTAATCGGAGAGCCGAGTTCCAATGCCCGTTGTGTTAGTTATATTTACTTACGTGCAAAATACCGTGGGGAAAGATATGAATTCACCTCATCCTTCAGCCATGTGTTAATCAGTAATATTTGTATCACTAAAACATTATCTACAAAAAATATCTTACAATCTAAAAATATTTTCTGGCTTTAAATAACCTGCAAAGTGTTGATAAGCCGTAGAAAACGAATCAATCAAATACTGAGTAACTACACAGGCATGTCTTTCAGATTTATTTCCATTCTCTGGAATATAAATGTATAAAAAAAATGCAGTGGTCACAAAGTGAGGGATCAGCTTTCATAATGAGTGTAATGTAGAATTGATCCCCCAATTTATATCAACATTATAATTCCTGATTTGTTTTACAAATTCTGATTAAGTATTAATCCACCTCTTCTCCCCTCCAATTATCGATTAATTAATAAGACTTCTACCATTAAACCATTATTATCTAAAAAAAATATTTTCTGCCTTTAAATAACCTGCAAAGGGATGATAAAAAGTGAACCTATCCCACAATGCCTTTTATTTACAGACACTGGTTATGTTCTTCCGGTCAAAGCTTATCTGTTAGCGAAGAATAATGATCAACGTTTAGGAGGGGTAAGTACATGAATATATTCGGAACCTTTTTTTTTCTCTTGAAAACTTGACTATAAGAGCCAATAAAGAACAAGCTGGTTTGCTTAATTTTGATTCTTCTCGTTCTCATTGCTCATGGTTAGGAACCATAGACAATTCCAGGCATGTCCTCTATTGTCTTCTTACTCTCTCTTACCAATTCCAAACACTCCGCCATCGATCTTCCTGTCCAGTCTCTGATGTCATCAGTCCAGTGTTGCTTTTGTCTTCCCTGGGCTGCCTGCCACTGATATGTCTCTCTAGGATGTGAGTACAGAGGTTCTGAGCTCTGATGATATGAGCAGATTATTGTAGCTATCACTTCCTTATAACGTAGACTGTGCGTTAAAATCGTGTCTACCAATAGAAGACAATGATCTTGCGTTCTCTCCCGCTGTTAATGTACTGATGATTAAGGTAGTTATCTATAAGTGTTCATAGATTGGATAAGAATGACTTGAACGGAAAATCAGCATTATGTATTCCAAGAAATTGGATTCAAGTTAAACCTTTCCAAAACAGAAACTATGATCTGGAATTGGGATGAAAGCAATGATGGGACCAACCCTGAATCCATCATAAAAATTCAGAATTTGGAATTAGTAAATATCAAATATTTCAAATTCCTCGACGTATACATCTGTTATAATAAATTTAGTATAGGAAGAAAAAGAAATTGAACATAGAATAGGCTGCACAAGAGGTAGTTTCCCCCAACACCTCAAACTGCCAAAACATCAAATGGAAAACTCTAGTCATCTTAAATAGCCTCGTCAGATCGTAAGGATGATATGCATTTCGTCAAATGCGTTCAAAAATATCTTAATAATCAGCTGTATGCAACCGTTTTTTAAGAACAATGGCGGAAAGAACTTTGGGCGAGTAAAGGTTGAGTATTTTCTTTGAACATTGGGGACTGGCGCTACATATTCTTAAACAAAAACTATACCAGATAGCAGAAACTACATTACTTGAGGACAACCAACAGCAGCAACGACTAAAATGAATAGCATATGTAACTCGAAGAGAAAACAATGACATAATTAAGATGTTAATATTCCACACCACTTCAAGCAAAAGGTTAGGAAGGAAACCCACCCCCATCAGTACTGGATTAATCGATAACAGCTACTAGATTTGAGAAACCTGTTTTCCTAAAGAGTTGTTTTAAGAGGAAGATTTTATAAATTTCAACCGAAATCAGTATATATCGCTTGTTTAATGAATACCAAATATTTCCTTATAGGGAAACGGCTAATGTTATCATTACCATTATAGTCACGACCAATTACCCCTCTATTACTATCTTCTCTCGGGGCGAATTGTTTGTGCTGTGGTCTAACCAGTTGATGCCAAGTGTCCATCTAGACTATGCTATCTCAGAAGATATCGGTTTGTTAACATCGGCTTCTTTCAGTGTCCAGGTTTGCTTAAAATGTTTTATTATATCTCCGCTCATCCTCATTAGCCAATAACCAGATTTTGTTCTGATGGGTGGCTATTAGCTTATCGTTTTCTATCATTATTCAAACACAGACATTTACACATCTTACTATATGAAAATTTAGATGTTTGTGTCTGCAAAGGTTTGTCGTACAATAGATTATAAAACAAATAGAATTAAGTAAATACTAGTGAAAAATTAATAATAATGACTGGCAATGCTTCATCTAATAAAAAAACGAAGATGAACGTATATACTAGTCAAAAATTAATAATAATAGCTGACAATGTTTCATTTAATAAAAATGAAGATGAAAGTAAATACTTGATAAAAATTGATAATAATAGCTAACAATGAAACATCGAATAAAAATGAAGATGAAAGAAAATGCTTCTGAAAAATAATTTTTGGCAATTCTTATTCTATACAAATCAAAAGGAAGTAAGTGGTAATCATAATTAAACCTAATTCAATTTATTTAGACATTTTAGAAATTGTTAGGAATTCGAAAGAACTAGATTGAAGATATGGTTGAATTCTTGTCAAGTCATCTAAGTAGTGTTGTTACTCAAAGAATGGATTACATTGAACAAGACCGACTTTGACACATCATTGCATATCTTGAGCTTCCGGTAAAAATCATACTTACTCACAATGGTTTGTGATATGAGTACACTAAACCCTTTATGACAACATCTACTTCCTCCTGACAGGTACTTGTTAAACAAGGCCAAGTTTACAGAGACAGAACCAAGAAATAAATAAATAATTGTATACTTCTAAACCAGACATTTTAGTTGTGTACACGCCTTTTTATCTCCTGCCTGTCGGGAGAGAGAGCAATATTTACCTGTCGTTGGTGTCAGGGTGTCTCCTCCCTTCAGTTTAATGATCCGGAAACAGATTTATCCAAGCGTGACACCACTCGAACTGGAGTATAAAATCGACTGGTTTTTCTTGTTTCTCACTGAGAGAAACTAAATTATCTAGAAGTCGGGCAAATATATGCACTTTAATAACGACCCACTTGTTTCGGATTCTAAGAAAACCGAAAACGATACGAGTGTTAAGCTTTCTTTTTCTGTTTTCTTTCTTTCATTTTTGGTTTGTTTTCTTTCTTTCTTTTTCTGTTTTCTTTCTTTCTTTTTCTGTTTTCTTTCTTTCTTTTTTGTTTTCTTTCTTTCTTTTTCTTTGTTTCTTTTTTTGTTTTCTTTCTTTCTTTTTTGTTTTCTTTCTTTGTTTTCTTTCTTTCTGTTTTTGTTTTCTTTCTTTCTTTTTTTTGTTTTCTTTCTTTCTTTTTGTTTTCTTTCTTTTTTTCTTTTTTGTTTTCTTTCTTTTTTGTTTTCTTTATTTTTTGTTTTCTTTCTTTCTTTCCTTCTTTTTTTGTTTTCTTTCTTTCTTTTTTTTGTTTACTTTTTTATGATACCACTGGCGAAGATTTGTCGTTTATTTTTCAGCTAATAACTTATATAACTTATAAATATTCGTAAGCTTTCCATTGGAATTAATAAATAATTATAAAATAACTTGGATTGGTTTATTTTATGACATATCAAGTTTTGAAGTCCAAGCATCGACCAGGTGTTGGGTGGGGGAATCAACGGCCAATCCTCCGCCCTCACCAAATAGTGGGCTTGGGGGGGGGGCATGCTTTCAATAAAAATTAAGAACAACAGGAGAAAGAAACGGCGAAATCAATTCCAAGTTCAGAAAATTTATCAAGCAAGAAGAGTCGGCCACTACATCATGAGAATACTGACGAGACACTTTCGCATCTAGGCAAAGACATTCAATTTTCCCTTTTTTTCTGATTTTTCTTTCGAAACGGGATTTCTAACTAGACCATCAAATAGGTTAGAATGATTAGGACAAAATGTGTTACTATGGGCAAGCACACTGACGAGTAGGGGGAGAAAAAAAACTACAATAAAATAAAATAAAATTTAAAGATTAAAAAAATAAAGAATTAAAGAAAATAGAAAAAAAAATAAAATGAGTCTTCGGTAGAGCGAAAATATACTCACACAGGGTAGCAAGTGTTTGTCTGCTTTCTTCCTCATGATAACAAGTGAATATACGGTTTACCTGATTTCCAAGCATCGACCTGGTGGGGGGGGGATCAATGGCCAATCCTCCGCCCTCACCAAATAGTGGGCTTGGGATTTTAATGTCGTATATAAATCTCATAGAAGAAGAATCACAAAGACGTATTAGATAAAAGCAGACATGGATCCGGTTTACACTAGAGTCAAAATGACAGACAGAGGGTCAAGTTTCTACTTGAGCCCAAAAGCAAAACCAAACATAGATCCGATTTAGTCGAGAAGAAAAAAAAATAGACATTGGTCTGGTGTTACACTAGAGTTAAAAAGATAGAAATAGGTCTGGTTTACATAAAAGTTAAAAAGACAGTCATAAGTCGGGCTTAGAGTAGAATCAAAAAACACAGGTGTAGGTCCATTTTACACCAGATTGAAAATAAGACAGTCATAGGTCCGTTTTTACACCAGATTAAAAATAAGATAGACATATTCCATTTTTACGCCAGAATAAAAAAGACGGGTATAGATCCGTTTTTACAACAGGGTAAAAAAAGACAGACATCGGACCGTTTTTACACCAGAGTGAAAAAATAAATAAAGCTTTTATTTGTAAAACTAATTGGCCACTAAATTTGAGATTTGATTTTATACTAGAAAGCTGGACCAGTGAACGCTGATTGGTTAGAAAATACCTTATGAAATAGAGAATGTCCTACAATCACAAATGACTGCATGAGCGTACTCTAATCATAACTGTTCTGGGCATGACGATAAACTACATCCGGCAGCAAGGCCTCTGATTGGGAGATTGAACTTTCTGAGTAACGTGGAAATTAACCGCTGTTGTTCTCAGGTACAACCTGATCTGGGAAGGAAACACCTATTAAGGTCCCAGCTATGGGCAAATAGTGATGTCCCCATACAAAAACAAACCACTATGAAAGTATACAAATAACTTTTATAGTAAAAATACCAGCAATATTTGTTTATATTAAAAATTACAGAAAATACATATTTGTAGAAGCCAATCCGTTTAAAATACTATCAAATAACCAGCATGAAAGAGCTTTCACGACATTAAAATATATAATATAAAATTTCTTAAATCAAACTGTATAACCAATTATAAGTTCAGCAAAACTACAACATAAAACACACATCACCACATTTAGTAATCATGTTCACACAAATATATATATATATATATATATATATATATATATATATATATATATATATATATATATATTATATTTATTTAAAAATATGATTCCAACTCGCGACATAAGAAGTCTCATGTATTATATTTATGCTCTACTTTTGTATCGAGCCCTATTTTTTAAAGATAATAACTAAAATACTAAGGAACTTTGGATTATTTACCTAACCAGTTCCTTCCTATTTTCTATATATTTTCACACACACACACACACACACACACACACACACACACATATATATATATATATATATATATATATAAAAAAAAAACTAAGTATCGTCGACCATGTACTTAATAGTGAAAGCAGAATAACATATTTTTGTTACTTCAAAGAAAAGAAAATTTTGGCATTAAATGAATCATAAGGATTTTATATGCCGTTAGGCAAACAAATCAATCAAACAATTTATAAATAGATACTTAAAATATAATAATCAAGATATAAGCAATGATTTCCGCTCGAATATTATTTGTTGGTCTGTGGAGCGTCCATGCGGCTGGAAAGGCAACTATCCAACTATAGTGCTGGTCACAGAAAATGAAATTCTTAATTTTCGATTCTAGACTGAAATGGCTTTCCATTAAATATCTGTTTGATTTCCGTTAGCATGGCTAATGCTAACCTCCAAGAGAATAACTCGTTGCACCTTTTGGGGCTAACATTCTCAGCTGACATGAAGAGGAAAGATTATATTGAATCTAACGCTAGGTCAGCTATTAAAAAAGTTGTTTCAATGTGTCGTGCTAGACAAATATGTATATGCACAAAAGCTGGGTATTATCTACCATGTATTCAATTGTGAAAGTAGAATAATATATATCAGATTTTTTAAAAACAAATCTCACAAGAAAACTAAATTTCAGTATTAAATGACTCATAAGGAGTTGATATGCTGGTGTTTGGGCTCTCTGATCCGCCGTCTGTCAGCCTATAAAAAAAGAGACAAATTTCTCATAAATATTTCTTGATATATTTACTTTATTTAAATGAGTACGAATTATCTCTTCTTTGTTTTTATCGCCACAACGTTTCGGCCGGTGTATATTCCTACCTTCAACAGGTGTATGTCGATCCTGGTAACCTACAGAGATATTCCTAGACATGGGCAGTGGAAAGACAAAAATCCAGTTCCGTAGATTAAATAAAGGCCTCGGTTCGGAATTTCCTGTAGGTTGACCGGATGGATGAAAGCCGGGGTGGGGTGGACAATGATCGAAAATTTGTGATAAATGAGAACAATAACATATTAATAATCATAAATATATTTCTGTAAGATTTCCTCAGAAATTCAAAGATGCTTTCTTTGCGCGGGTTTGTCTCTCATTTTGACCTGAGGGCGCCTAGCAACTTTTACTCATTATCTCCATGTTTCCTCGGATAATATTCTACTCCTTATATATATATATATATATATATATATATATATATATATATATATATCCATAAAGTTCGTGTGCAATTTAAAAATTATTTATGCACACGAACTTTACAGACACCCTGTATATGTCATTCGTAGGCAATACTATTTAGGTGTATCACAGCACCTGAATGGTGACTATACGCCCCAAAAACCTCAATCAGTATCGAAACCCAAACCGAGTTGATGGCAGTCGGATTTTCTACCCCTAAGCCTAAGTGAAACTGCTAATTCTGGCGTATTGTTTTACTCATGTAAACAAACGTCAGGCGGCCAGAGTGCTCGTATTCATTTTATCGAAGAGCTTTTCGTTTTAGTATAGGTGGCTTCTGTTTGTACACACACACATATATATATATATATATATATATATATATATATATATATATATATATATATATATATATATATATATATATATATAGATAACTAGACTCGTTTCGAAAAACCCTCGAATTTTTGATTTGCTAATCAAATCAATCTCGAGGGAAAAAAGGTTTTAAAAAAGAAAGAGCTACAAACATGAACTTCTGCCGACAAAAAAATCGCAGGTCTGAAGCCCAAAGAAAAAACCCCGATACGAGTAACAACTAACTAACAAAAGATCTCAATACAACCGTAGAGCAGACCTAGATACACCTAGTGAGCCAGACAAACCTAACGATCCGTTTAGGTGAAACCTAGGTAGGTTTGTCTGGCTCACTAGGTGTATCTATATATATATATATATATGACGAAATATAGTTTAAGATATGCTATATTTATGGGATAAACTGCTCAATATCAGAAATAGAGCATATGCAAATATAAAAGTGAAGATTGAAGTCAACACTCAGAGGTGACAGACTGTTTATATGCTAAACGCAATCATCAGGCCCGATGATTGCGTTCATCTTGAAACAATCTGTCTGTCGCCTCTGAGTGTTGACGACATTGTTCACTTTCATATATATATATATATATATATATATATATATATATATATATATGTGTGTGTGTGTGTGTGTGTGTGTGTGTGTGTGTGTATTGGGCGTGTGGCCAACAGCTTAGAATTGGTCTAATCTCACTATGGTCGTTTTTGAAAGAGTTGACTTTTTGATATCATGGACCTGTTGGAAAGTAACTGAAATTACTGCGGTATACTCAAGCCTTCTAAGTGAAATTGGATGGGTTTAACTATTCGAAAGCCGCCGATGTATATGCTAGAATGTGAGCACAAGTCATTGTGACCGAATGTTTAAGCGTACTGACCTTGTTCAAACTGTTGATCACTACAGATTATGCAATGCCCACTCAGTGAAGTTGGGGTATAAATCATTATGTGGGCATGCTCGACCAATGCACTAGACGTGTTCTATAAATGCTCAACCAATGCACTAGAAATGTTCTATAAATGCTCGACCAATGCACTAGACATGTTCTATATTAATGCTCGACCAATGCACTATAAATGTTCTATATTTATCCTCGACCAATGCACTATACATGTTCTATATTAAGGCTCGACCAATGCACTAGACATGTTCTATAAACGCTCGACTAATACACTAGACATGTTATATATAAATGATCGACCAATGCACTTGATAGTTCTATAAATGCTCGACAAATGCACTAGACATATTCTATATAAATTATAGACCAATGCACTAGACATATTCTATATAAATGCTCGACCAATGCACTAGACATATTCTATATAAATGCTCGACCAATGCACTAGACATGTTCTATATTTATGCTCGACCAATGCACTAGACATGTTCTATATTTATGCTCTACCAATGCACTAGACATGTTCTATATTTATGCTCTACCAATGCACTTGATAGTTCTATAAATTCTCGACAAATTCACTAGACATATTCTATATAAATGCTCGACCAATTCACTCGACATGTTGTATATTAATGCTCGACTAATGCACTCAACTATGCACTAGACATGCCATTAAATTAAGAGCCAAATTTTACATAAAATCAACTTTAATTAAGTTTTATTATAATTAATGTTTCTTTTTTTTCTATTTTCTGTTGTAGGAGGTGATCCTATCAGTCAAGGCACCAAAGTATTTGAAAGTTACAATGAAGTCTGATTGCAATAACAAGTAAGTTTTTCACACTAAATAATACCATGGTGCACTAATCAGTCAAGCATTCTATACCATATCCACAGGGGACCTCGACGTGGTGTAATGTTTAACAAGCTTGTCTCTCTAGTATAATTACGACTGAGTAGTGAGTTCGATCCTCACTTGTCCCATACTTTCGGCCTTGTGCCACATGTAAGCTACGCGTAAAAATTAGCTCTTCGACGCGGTGAAATTGTCAGCAAACTTGTCTCGTTATATTATATACCACTGACTAGTGAATTCGTTCCTCACTGGGGGCTCCAAATTTTTGGCCTTGTTCAACATCTAGGCTACATATAGAAAAACATTTTGGTGCATCTCAACGTGATGTAATAGATTGTCTCGCTAGAACAATTTCTACTGAGAAGTGAGTTCCATTCTCAGTGGATGCTCCATACATTTGGCCTTGTGCCACATCTAAGATATACTTAGAAAATCACAATACCACATTCTAAACGAATCAATATAAAAACAGGAATCTTGCTTTGCTTCCGATGCTAAGGTACTATTATGATGAGGTACTTTGCCGATGACATCAGTCAGTCAGTAATGTGCCATGCGTGATAAACGCTTAGGCGATCATGTATCTTTCAATACATGAGTGACGAGGCAGATTTTTTTTCCCGCAGTAGTTTGCAATTACTTTCTGCGGTAGACCAGTTGCCATCCAAGGCTATAGAACCCGGTCTGTCCTGCTATTTACCCATAGCTGGGTGGGAGTGGAGAAGAAGAGGATTCATACCTTTCCCAAGGGTATTAGCACGTAAGTGAATGTAATGGATTCAACTGGAATTCGAACTCGGCTCTCCGATTCCTCAATCCGAGCCGCTATCGCTAAAAATTATTAATGATAAGATATACTTCGGCAGAATGCGAACCTTAGACCTCCCACACCAACACACACCTGAAATTAGAAACTACTGTCTAATTATATATGTGTGTGTATGTTTATGTGTGTGTGTGCTTGTAGCACATCAGTTTGCATATACACACACACATACATACAAACAGGTAGACAGGCATACATACATACACACATATAGCACACATTCGTCTGTATTTACACAGAGTCTGAGCGTGTATATAGAACGTAGATTTCATAAAGACTAAACAGATTCCTCGGCGAATGGATAAGTTATAACGAAGTTTCGAACAACATCACAAATTGTTACAAACCAAAACATGACTCTGAAAACTCCAGACATGTTCGAAAATAGCCATCTCAGATCAAAACTTTCATATGGATGCCATTCAGGACGCCAAACTAACCCGGAAATATCTAAACTGTCAACTGTACAGCGCGCGATGGATAAATTGTCGTCTAAGTTACACAAGATTTAAAATAACATTGACAATACATTTTAAAATATATATTTACCAAAATTACACAAAAATATCTAGAAATACTAAAGAGTAAATTTATTCAATAAAATCGCCATGGGCTTCAACTACGGCCAACAGTCGACTTCGGAATCTCCTGCAACTCTTCTGGACGGTATCTTTGGTTAAGTTGGTGAATGCTGCCGTAATCCTTGTCTTCTTTTCCTCTTTGTTGGTCTCTTGCTCAACTGCGTCCCACACATAATAATCAAGAGGCTGCAGTCTGTGTAGTTAGGTGGCCAGATGCAGGTGGTCGCTCAAACTGTCTGACAACCATGACTGGGTTCTGGGTTGGTGCAGAGTCCTCTTGATCCAGTGCTTTGAAGATGTCCCCCAGGCATTTGATGTAGATCTCCGTGTAGAATCTGAGGCCCCGCAAGAAGAGATCACTCCAAACACGGTAATTACCATTAAAATCATCCAAATCCTCTGCATTGTTCTTAAATTGTCAACCAAATACTCTGAAATTTCCGGCGTGAATGCCAAGCAGTCCAGCATGTCGTTTCCAAACTTCTAGCGGAGTGAATTGCATCTTGGTGACCTTATTTCTCACAGACGGTGCCCACCTGACCCTACTATACTCTGCAGTCGACAAAAAATGTAACTCTCATGCGCGAAACTAAAATATAAAATGGCGACAATTTACCCATCACTTGCTCTCTCTCATACATATATATATGTGTGTGTGTGTGTGTGTGTCTGTATGTCTGTGTGTTTTTGTTTGCGATTGTGTTTTTCTGAATCTTTGTTTTTTTTTGTTCAGTCACCCAGCTCCTGTCGAAACATCTTCATGTCATGGTATACACGATGGACAAACTGTAAGTAATCTCATGGCTACCTGCCATTTTAAAATTAACTTCTGTTTTCAGGTGTTTTTACTTTTGATATTGTTATGGTCCAAGTTCCTGATACCACGGTGATGATCCAAGGTTAGAACCAATGAAAGAATAACACGAACACAGGTATGGAATACAAAGATATATTACAACAGAAATATAATACAAAGAAGTAGAAGTATTAGTAATGACTATCAGATTTGGTTAGAGTGAACTATGTTGTCTCGACAAGTATCACTATTCTAATGTCCTTACAATATGCTCTCAATTATCTCCCCTCGTCTTACAACACCCTCAAACCTCTTGAGAGGCGCAGTATTATAATGTCAGTATATTTAGTCCATTAGTCATTGTAGTCCATTATTATTATGGGTAAATTCCCATGACAGATATTTATTTATTTATTTTGTATATTCATATTCAATTGAGTTAAGTTTGGTGAAAAAATTTCTCAGGTATGAATTCAGAATCAAATTATATGCAATTCACAATAATATTCCTAGAAAAGAAACATCATTTTTTAAAATGATGTTCACAGAGTACAAGGCCTAAGAGCCACTCGAGGTAGAGAGTTACAGAGTAAACGACGATATGTGTGGAAAATAACGTTTAACCCTGGACTTAAACAGTCCAAGATTGTACTGATTGAGGAAGACAGTTCCACAAATCAGCTGTTGATGTGAAGAAGCTGCTCGAGTGGAACTTATATCTCACCAATTGAATATGAAGGTAATGAAGATGATTCGCTACAATGTGCATGGCATGCCGGGTCTTAGCTGTGAAGGTTAGAACTGGTGGAACTGTGGAATGTATTTCGTTTGAACACTTTCAATAGAAATAGCGATAAAGCAACAAGAGGCTTGCGGCGTTTCGTCTGTGAGGAAGTGATTGTACGACGGAAAATAATTCATCACCCACAAGGAGGCGGAAACGCTTTGGGACTGTATCGAGATTCGAAAGTGAACAGTGTATTATCTGGAATTGGATCCTACCCTGAATCCATCACAACCTACCCTGAATCCATCATAACATAATGTGGTATTAGTAAGAAGACAAAAAATAACAGTGGTGGTAATCCTGTACAAGGCCCGAGAGCCACTCGATGTAGAGGTTTACAGAGTAAGAGGTACATTTTATGCAGACACATTGGGATGTTAACGGTTACTCCTAGACTTGAACAGGTTAAGATTGTAGTGATCGAGAAATCACCCTCTTAGAAGTCGCTTCCACAGAACAGTGGTTCGCAAGGAGAATCTGCTTGAGTGGACCTTACATCCTATCAATGGAATACGAAGGGAATGAGGGTGGATCGCTACAGTGTGCGTGGGATGGTGGGTATTAGCTGTGAAGGTTAGATCTGGTGGAACTATGGAATGTATTGCGACTAAAAACTTTCCATACAAATAAGCGATAGAGCAGCAAGAGGCTTGAGACGTTTCTTTCAGTCAGCGAAATGGTTGCTTTGAAGATATTATTTTAGACTTTATTTCTGGTTATCACATCTCCCAAATGTAATATAAAGAGAATGGGGTTGGTTTGTTAAAATACACTTGGCATGATGGGTCTTCAACAATGGATTGCTTTGTAGCTTCAACTAACGATTTAACATTGTCGTCATACTAAAGGTATCCCGGCGAATAAACTCGTTGATGGCGCCAGCAGATGAAAATCAATCAGAAAATGCAACTCGTAATCGACGTCTTAATAAAACTTGCCAAGCACCATTAATCGCATGATTGGTAATCAATGGGTGAAATTTCCTACACCATGAGTCGAAAGACGGAACAACTGTGACGAAAGACATGACTTACCTCAGAATTCGAAACGAGCGCGAGCCTGTCTTGCTTGGAAAGTGATAACAAAAAGAAATATGGCCGCTATTGAAGACACAATTTATACGCGCCGATCTCGTCCAAAACGAGACGATATTTGTACACATACAAATTTTGGCCGTCTTGGAATAGCATAAAAATCGGGGTGCCAGCAGCACCAAGTTGTCAAGGAGTCGGACTGCGTGTAATATAGTTGGACTTACGGATTGGCAGACGGACAAAGAGGAAGTCGAAGTAGGCGCGGCTGAGCTGGTGTCTGTTTCACAACTACCCAGTGTAACGGCTGAGAAAGGAGTCATGCAATTCATTTCCTTGACGTGACCGAAGAAGAAAAAAATAGCTGGCCTGCCGGCGAGCGACGCATTGCACTTTTTGATCCCCATCATCATCATTTTTTTCTCCTACACCCACTATAGTGCTCGTCATTTCTTAACGCTAACGGACAGAATAAACTAAATCATATAGTCTTAATTTCAAATACAAATCTTTCAAATCGAAAAGTTCGAGGTATGAAGACAAACTACACCAGAAGTAATGCATCTTATCGGAAGATTTTAAGGAGCCAACTCTTAATTGCTGTTGTGTCCAGAGTTGACTTCAATGTCTACTTTTATATTTATATATACTCTATCCCTGATATTACGCACTTTAATCCATAATTATAACATACCTTAAAACTATTTTTTTATTATATATATATATATATATATATATATATATATATATATATATATATATATATATAAAACAAGATTTATTGCACAATGTCGATAAATTTATCATTAACTTTTTTCAATTTCCCAGAGTAAGTTGTTTACTGCTTCAGGTTAAGCTTTGAAGTGAGAAGCGCAAGCAAAGAAACTGCTAGCATAGACTCGTTGCCAAGCAAGGCTAGAAAGTTCAGTCTGCCCTGCTATTTAACTGGTGGGAAAAGAGATATATCCATGGATTCCCCAAATGTAATTCTGTGAAATTGTGCGTAATGAACTCGAGAGAAAATTCTCACTTGGTTCGCCGATTTGTCCTTCGGGCCCGTTTTTATTCTATCTTACACTGTGTGCAAACGAGGAAAAAGTATGCAGAATTAATGTCGAGTTTTCTTCAAGGTAGCCCATAATTTTCTATGACAAGTTTTTGAAAATATGTCTTCTACTTACTTGCTGACAATAATTAAGTTATCTTTTTTCTAAAAAAGAATCGACATTTTAAAACTATTCAATTTTTCATTTTTTACAGGCCACATTCTCTTTCACGATTCTCACTGAAACTTGCTTCGCGAAGAAGAAAACGTAAGGTCATTTTATTTTTACTTTTTTATTCATTTCCTCTCAAACAAGGCAATAAAGCCACTAAGACACACATGGGTTACTGAGCGTGAAATAATATAAGAAACAAATTTCCTACTAAGGTGAGAGAAAAGTAGAGCAGGAAATAAGATAACGATACATATAAAAAGTGTCGTTCATTACGATTTGATGGAACATGGAAGGAACGTCTCTGCAAAGTTTTTTTTTTTAATCATTTCACCCCAAGCAATGCAGTAAAGCCACCAAGACGCAAGGGGTTACTGAGTATTACAAAATATGAAAAAAAAATGTAACATTATTAAGGAAAAACATGAAGACAGATGATAACGATTGACTTTGCATTTAAATTTTTGAAGATCAAGGAAGCAAAAAGCTGGAAGAGATTTCTATAAGTGAGAAGTGCCATAGAAAAAAAATGTTAGCATAGAACCTACGGTTATATCTAGCAGCCATTTGAACTGTAAAATGAGAGCTTGCACTTAAATTAGGGTACTGTAGAGAAAAGCTCATCAGAACAATTACAATGAAAATATTTAGGGAAAAGGCACAGGCAATATACATTACCGCCGTGAGAATGTGACTGAAGCCGAAATGCCAGATACTTAACTATATTTAAAGTAACTTTAAATTTTCTTCTCTACAACCAATTATTTAGGGGAGATTTTGTTCGAACAGCCTCAAAAGAGATTGTTAAAGTACATAATGGGAAGGTAATAAGTAACTCCCCCAAGAACTTAGTGATTTAAAACTAATTGTTTTCAATTCATTAAGCTAATTGATTGTTTAGTTTTCTAGGGTTTAACTACAATTTTCAGGTTATTTAAAGCCAGGGATATTTTTAGATTATAAGGATATTTGTTTTTGGAGGTAATGATTTATTGGTGCAAGCATTACAACTCATAGCTGGGAGGGGAAAAAAGGTAGATTCATATCTTTCGAAGGGCACCTGTATGTAAATGAATATAACGAACCCGACTGGAATTGGAACTCGGCTCTTCGATTGATAATTCCGCATGAGCAACATCTTAAAGAAAATGGAAACAAAGAGCAAAGGTACTACTAGATTGCCAACTAGGTCTCACAGTTTTACTTTTGAATTAACTAAATGTGACCGTCTCTTCTATTCTAACGGTTTCTTTCAGTTTTCTAACGGACATTTCGTCTGTAGGACTTTCCTCCAACTTCTTGCTTATACTCTGAGACACTTAATGAGGAAGAAGGGCTTGGAAAATTTGACACGCAAAAGGGACAGGAGGAAAACTGCCTACCTAGCAGGTATATTTACTCGACATCCCCATGGTGCTGCCCATATAAAAATGATCTCGTGTCACATCCTGCATTAGTGGGATGTCGAGTAAATATAGATAGAGTTAGATAGGTTGTCTTCGCCCTGTTCGTTTTGTTTTTGTCTGTGAAATTTTCCAAGGCCTCAAAGTATAAGTGTTCTTTTTGTTTCCATTTTCCTTAAGATGTTGCTTATGTCCATAGAATTCTCAGCATCCTCCTGTAAAACCCCATTTCTGTTGCCTCTAATCTTCTCTTCATCTGAGAGGAAAATGTCCAGCATTCAGCTCCATCAAGTAGGATTGATATTTCATAGCAGCTGAGCGCTCTTTATTTTGTCTATAACGAATCCCTCATGTTGCTTAGTACTTTGTAACCACTGATAATAAATCCCGACGGGAACCTTACTGTAAAGGGTGAAAATTCCAATGAGAAGACAGCTTTTTCTTACGCCCCTTCCTCGTCACTTTCACTTACAAGGCTTGAATCAACTTGTGGTATGGTTTTCAGGCTATATCCAACAATGACGCACGTTGGGATTGTCTATCCCGGATCGATAACATCACCTTCCTAAGAAATCGACCATGGTGAAATTCGAACCAAGACATCATGACCAGAAAACGAACGTTCTAATCACTCAGCCACGAATTTACAACAAAAATATTAGATATTTATTTATTAGACTGCTTATTTAAAAGAAAAAAAAATTATATTTACATTATTAAAATTAACACAGTCGTATTAAAACTAATGCGATGCAATTTTTATCATTTACCAATTTATAAAGAAATAAATATGAAAACCATTTTATTCATAAATTTATAAACTTTTGATAAAATATTAAAATATGTGAACGTAAGGAATTCCTTATTTTGTAAGGAATTCCTTATTATTTACCATTTTATAAAGTTTGAATAGATTGGCAATTAGCTGATGTTTTGCCAACCATTCCGATAAAGAATATACATTAAATAAACGATGTAAATAAATAACCGAATAAATAGTTTTTATTATTTTTGTTTTTTGTTCTCAAGAACAAAGAAAATGTATAAATTCGCATTTATATGTTTAGATTTTATTACAATTCTAAAAGTAATTTAAAAACATTAGACAATGACGATAATTGAAGGTAGTTAAAATAATGGCGATGTCATGGTAAAAACCCTCCTTTGGGCATAGCGCATATTTTTCTGGCACGAATGTCCATATTTGACAAATGTTTTATTGATTTCTCTTTTTAATCGTTGAAATTTCAGGATTTACGTTCGCGCAAATAATATGAGGAAGGCTCAGTTGGTAATCGTCGTCAAAGCGAAATGTGAATGCGACTGCGAACGGAAGAAAGCAGTGGTAAGTAAGGAATAAACAGACTTTCTAGCAAGAATAGCGAGATAAGATTGGTCTGAAAATAATACAAGATTGATCTTAAAATGACACGAAATTGTCTGAAAATGATACGAGATTGGTCTGAAAATGGCATGATACTGATCTTAAAATGACACGAGATTGGTCTGAAAATGACATGTGATTGGTCTGAAAATGATACGAGATTAGTCTGAAAATGGCATGATACTGATCTTAAAATGACACGAGATTGGTTTGAAAATGAATTGTGATTGGTCTGAAAATGATACGAGATTAGTCTGAAAATGGCATGATACTGATCTTAAAATGACACGAGATTTGTTTGAAAATGACATGTGATTGGTCTGAAAATGATACGAGATTGGTCTGAAAATGGCATGATACTGATCTTAAAATGATACGAGATTGGTCTGAAAATGGCATGATACTGATCTTAAAATTACACGAGATTAGTCTGAAAATGACATGTAATTGGTCTGAAAATAACATAAGATTTGTATTAAAATGACATAAGAATGGTCTTAAAATGACATCAGAATTATCTTAAAATATCATAATATTGGTCTTAAAATGACATAATATTGGTCTTAAAATGACATAAGATTGGTCTTAAAATGACATAAGATTGGTCGTTAAATGTGCAGCAATTCCAACCGTTTCAACTGATTTTAGGTAGATTTTTATTTGGTTTTTTATTTGTTGGATCATGCTCATTTTGGCTTTTTTAATCGCAACATTTCGAAATATGTACGCAACGGCATTCATGAGAAATCGGCCATAGTTACTAAACTTTTTTCTACTTCGCACTTGACACTTTATTCAATCCACCGATTTGATTAATCTCCACTCGCTTTCCATATTTCAGGGGTAAACAAGAGATAAATCTCTACTCTAGTTCAAAAGACCGAGTAAGAGTATGAACTGGGCGATAGGCGAGCCTATCTACTTTTATCCTTCAACACCGAAATTAAATATAACGCATATATTGTGATTCGGAAGGGCGATAAATTGTCTATTTTCATTACGCACTAGAGGCTCGCCTATAGTCCGGCTCACAATCCCTCCACCAGTCTTATGAACAGGAGTAAGAGTTTATCCCTTGTTTCCTGTTTACGATTGATTTTCCGGTACCTTCTAATGTCTGCTTTAGTTTTATCCCCTCCACCAATTGGAGTAGATAGATTGGCCTATAGTCCAGCTCACATTCTTCCCCAGTTTTTCTGAACTGGGTTCCGATGTCTATACCTTGTTTCCTGTTCAGGATTGAGTTTCCTGATCCTTCTAAAGACATTTCCTTATATAACCTTCTATCTTGCGTGGCTCTTGGGCCTTGCACGTAGTGAATATCATGGGAAAATCAAACAAAAAAGAACGATTGCAAAGTGTTTCGACGATCCTGCATTCGTCAGGTGCCATCCTACTCTTTAAAGATGTGGTTCCTAAAGTTTTTTTTTTTTTTGAGGGCTGCATTTTCGGAATCAAAATTTGCTGGCGCCTCACAAAATTTTATGTGACAAAAAGTACGCTTAGAAATTAATGAAAAAACAGGAAGAGAGAATGCTAAAGGGCGATAACCGCGGATTCGAAGACAGAACATTAAAATTGATAACTCTCACTTACAATTTGCAAACCCTAGTTACTATATTCTTAATACTTGATATAATGCAAAAATATCCCAATCATAAAGAAGGTCAATAATTATTTATAACTGTTTATACTAGGACTCATGTATACAATTACAAGTAATCTATAATATTTTTTCAATGTTGAAATCATATTCATTTTTGGCAGGTTAATTTTTTAAAACTGTTTCTAAATATTTGATTGTCTTTTAATCATTCAGCCTCACCTGCTATCCTCTACCGTCTCACCTGCTACCCTCTACCGCCTTACATGCTATCCTCTACCGCCTCACCTGCTATCCTCTACCGCCTCACCTGCTATCCTCTACGTACCTACTATCCTCTACCCATCCTCTTCCGCCTTAACTGCTACCCTCTACCACCTTACCTGCTATCCTCTACCGCTTTACCTGCTATCCTCTACCGCCTTACCTGCTATCCTCCCTACCGCCTCACCTGCTATCCTCTTCCGCCTTAACTGCTACCCTCTACCACCTTTACCTGCTATCCTCTACCGCCTTACCTGCTATCCTCTACCGCCTTACCTGCTATCCTCTACCGCCTCACCTGCTATCCTCATCTGCCTCACCTACTATCCTCCTCCGCCCGTGCCTATGAAGGCGCCGCATTGCTTTGGAAATTGGTGCGTTAAGCGTTTCGAATTTTGAGCCGAAAAAATATTATTAATGGCAAATCTTTGTAGAGATATGCGTGAGTAAAGACTATAAAACTTTGGAAAGAGTAACATGTTTGTTAAGCTGTTTGGTGTACGTTTCTTGTTTTATTTATTTTTTTCAGAAAGATAACGCCCAATACTGCAATGGAAACGGCAAGCTTGTTTGTGGCCTGTGCAATTGTAACTATGGTAACTATGGACGAAATTGTGAATGCAGTGGAGGCAGAGAAAAGGACGAAAAAGACTGCATTCGACCGTAAGGAAAATCTTACACACACACACACACACACACACACACACACACACACACACACACACACATATATAACCACGGTATTTATGGGCGAAATTAGGATTCATCGGAGGCAGGGGAAACGGACGAATGACAATGCATTACGTATTTGAATGTTACGTATACACACACACACACCTATATATATATATATATATATATATATATATATATATATATATATATATATATATAGAAAACTAGACTCATTTCGAAAAAACCCTCGAATTTTGATTTGCTTATCAAATCAATCTCGAGGAAAAAAAGGTTTTAAAAAGAAAGAGCTACAAACATGGACTTCTGCCGACAAAAAAAATCCGCACAGATGCAGGTCTGAAGCCCAAAGAAAAAACCCGATACGAGTAACAACTAACTAACAAAAAGCTCAATACAACCGTAGAGCAGACCTAGATACACCTAGTGAGCCAGACAAACCTACCTAGGTTTCACACTAAACGGATCGTCAGGAAAGTTTCGCTAACGAGGCAAAGAAAAACACACATATTTATAGGTGATAAGCTAAAATCATACCACGTGACAAAATAAAAACAAAAAACAAAAACAACCTAAGTGGGGGAATATTTATTCAACAAAAAAAAAAACGATCCGTTTAGGGTGAAACCTAGGTAGGTTTGTCTGGCTCACTAGGTGTATCTATATATATATATATATATATATATATATATATATATATATATATATTCAAATCATTTGAACCAATTTTAAATGTGAATTAAGTTTTAGACGTAGTATTATTTTTCTTTTCTTTCAGTTTTATCAACTTTAGTCTTCGGCAACATAACGCACCTATAAAATCGGTTAGAAAATAGGGTTTTTGGAGAGATAGCAAAAGTCAAAATTTACGAAGAACTACAAATAACAGGAGATTATTAAAATCAGCATTTCTAAAATATTCAATTACTGACGAGGCTCGATGTTGCTTAACTTCCGTGATCGTACAGGATCTGATGTTTCAATGTCATATTGCTGTAAGCCCTAATAGGCGCAATTTAGGTTACCATTAACCAAATTGATGGAAGGCAAAAAAAGGTTCTATCAGTCGTTTAAAAGAATGCAGTTTGATTTTGGAGGCGTTAAAATTAACAGCCCATTCCTTGCTCCATTTAACAACAAAGTGTAGGTCGTTTTTATATCAGCTTCAGATTTGACCTAATCGAACCACTCAGACTTAATATGAAAACAGTAGTATATAGTTTTGTCATAATTATAGATAACTGAGTTGAGAACATGCCATAGGGAAAGTCGTTGATGAAAATTCGGAACAACGTAGGACCTAACATAGCGCCCTGCGGAACAGCTGGATTAATGCCAAAAAGATCTGGAAGATAGGCCATTCAAGACATCTTTCATTTTACTATTTGATAACAAAGACTGAATTAGTTCAGCTAGAAAAGCGAATGTCATATTACTTCATTATCTGTCTATATTTCTGAGATGAGGTATTATGTACACTATTTACATTGATCGGACCATCATCCTCATCTTTGTTGCCATATGTATCACAACGTTTCGGCCTTCTTCAGGTGGTTGGAATGTCGAACTGAACCCTTTATTTCGCTCACTGGGGTAGACTGTTCTAGTTCCACGTGCCATGTCTAATGGGTGTCAGTTTTCAGTTATCTTCTGTTAATTCCCTTCTCCAAGTTCTCCACTGCCTTAACCAGATATTGAACTCACACCCTTTGGGTCCTGTTACTGGATCTAACTATCGCCTTTATCCACACATGGCACAGTGGATAAAGGCGATGTCATTACATAGCTGGTCAATGTAGGTAGATGCTAGGCGACCAAAGCGTCTTGGCTAGAAGTCTAGAGTAGTAAATCACTTGCAAGTTCTTGATCTGCTCCACAGCACTGAACTGCGAAAAGCAGTCTGCGCTCGCATAGGATTGTACAAATATCAGGGATGTCTATAGAGCTGTGATTTAGTTGGATGTTGTCTCCAGGAGATGTGTATATGTATAGCCCTCAGCATCCGAATGTAGTTTCCATCAAGTTTAGACTCTTGGATTGCACTTTTTCTCTTTGTTATCACCCTTCATGAAATATTGATAACGTCCCTCGACAATGTTGATGATGATCATCATAGCTTTCCACAATTTCCTGTTCCCTGTAGCTCTTATAGACTTTGTCTTTCTGTTATTTCTCCTAAGCTCGGATCCACCATCCACTTACTCATTATGTATTTCATGCGTTGTTTTACTCTGACCCACTTGCACTCTATAAGTCCCGTGAGTATTAGTTTCTCCAAGACCTCTTGCCTTATTATGTTCCCGAGAAACCTCAACTGTCTCTTTCCGGTGTTAAGTTTTAGTTTTATTTCTGTTTCCATTTTCTCCGTCTTTACTCAGTTGTTCGTTCCATAGTATCCTTAGCATCCTTCTGTAGAGCCACATTTCTGTTGCTACATGTCTCATCTTAAACTTTGAGGAGATCGTCCAGCACTGACTGTCATACATGAGGACAGATATCACAACAGTTTAGTAGTGTATGCCTTGTTTTTAGCGAAATTTTTCTATTTCTTTGTACTCTGCTTAGTATTTAGAATGCTTCTTTGGTTATCCCAAGACGCCTTCGAATCTTAATTCGCTTTTTCCGTTTTATGTTAAAACACCACCGAGATATTTAAATTTCCGTACTTATTTGTTAATGCTGCTTCTGATTGGTAATTCACACTTTGGACTCATTCTTTTCCTAACAACCATAAAGAATTAAAATGTTTTGCTACTTGATTAAAAACAACGAGTCGCGATATTTTCTCGTCTACAGGTGATTGTGGCATTGATATTCCTTCACTGAAAATATTTTCTACTGCTTATTGATAACCACTTCATTCTTTTTCTCGTCCAGGGGTGACAGTGAGGTGTGTTCCGGAAACGGAAATTGCCTGTGCGGAAATTGTATGTGCTTACCAGACTCGGTAAGTTAACAGATTTTCTTTTTCTTTTTTTCTTTTAATTGCATTATTTATTTAACTATTAAAAGTGGCGTCACGATTAATATATTTCTTTCATGTTTTCTACGCTAGTGGTCGCCACCGGATGATCCACAGAAAAATTGTGACATTATATCAGTTTTTATGAAGCTTCAGATTAAAAAAAATGGCGAGTAACAAAAACGTATTATGGATGGTATATATAATTTCTTCAAGACCTTATGTAATCTCAAAATAAACACGAGAACACACGAGAACACAAACGACATCATCCAGCTATAGTATAACCCAACATGATTTACAAAGTCATGTTTAATACTTATCACTGGATAGTTTCGTATTATTACTGTTGATACCTAGTTACTGGATGGTTTACTAGTATAATTTTCTACAAACATGGCACTTAACGGAGCAATAGCGAGATCTTCAAGAATCGGCTTACGCACCAGATACAAATTCATAAACATTCATACTCAAAAACTATTTTTGCAAAATATCAAGAAAAAAAAAAAAAAAAAAAAAAGTCAAATCGCCATACGAACTAATGGAACAAATATCACAGTAAAATGTGTAATCTATATCTATAATTCTCAAAATGTGTGTGTATGTATGTATGTGTGTGCAATTGGATGTTGATTAAGCGTTTCCATAGTTTTCATCCGATTTTGATTAATTTTTTTGTTTGATAGATAATTTATCAGTGCCGTCTTTGAGTCCAAATTGTTGGCGACAATGACTCTCCACTACTTCCTGTCCATTATAACTCTTAGCAACGTTTTATATTTACTATTTGTTCTTGGATATATATATATATATTTCACTCATGAATACTTTAATAAAAATAAATAGTTTAAATTATTACAATAATATTATCTATATCTATAATTCTCAAAATGTGTACGTATGTGTGTGTGCGCGTGTTTGTGTGTGTGAGCTGATGTTCTTTATGCGTTTCTACAGTTTTCATCCAAACGCTTCTGCGCGCGAGTCTGAAAATGATGATCAAATGACCAAACGGCTGAGCAGAAATGCCTCTTCAACTGCTGCTGCGCGTGAGGGTGAAACAAGTCTGAGAACGCAAAAAACAAATTGTTAACAAAACCCCACCCCCACCCTAATTTGGGGATGTGCCTCAGTTGCACCCAATTTTTGTTATTAATATTGATTTTCGTGGGGTTGATTTAACTTAAACGTCTCCAATTGAACAGCAAAATTCCCAGCAATGAAAAGACCCGGTCGAAGACAGGTTATACTGCTACTACAATTGAATAAACTTCAAATTTTTCAATTTCTTTAAATAATTTCACTACAACTTTATTTATCTTTAATGCGTGCATTTCATATTAATAAAATTAAAGTTTTCCAATTATTATTGCTTAAAATTATTTCTCTTCCAAATTCATATTAGTGTTCCACCAAATTTAAAATGATACATTTAGTGGTAGATGAAGATCAAAAGGTTGCTGACCGTTGCTAAAACACCACAACTTCGGGTACGGTGTTAATATCGTACGGCACGCATGTTGTCATTTCAGATAATTTTCTCCGCGGTGTGATTATTTTGTGCCAGGAAGGAATCCTGCAGCGACAGGCGGAACGTTTATTATAACCGACACGTTCATTTGAAACATTCCAACCAACATACGTATTGCAAACGGTACTTGCACCTGCTAAAAAAAGAGTACGGCTAAATATTTCCAAACCGTTCTGGGTATGACGATAAACTACACCCGCCTCCTGGGTATGACGATAAACTATACCCGCGTCCTGGGTATGACAGTAAACTACATCCGCGTACAGGGTGGGACGATAAGCTACATCCGCGTCCTGGGTATGACAGTAAACTACATCCGCGTCCAGGGTATGACGATAAACTACATCCGCGAATTGGGAATGCCGATAGACTACATCCGCGTCCAGGTTAAGACGATAAACTACATCCGCGTCTTGGGTATGACGATAAACTACATCCGCGTCTTGGGTATGACGATAAGCTACATCCGCGTCAAGGTTAAGACGATAAACTACATCCGCGTACAGGGTAGGATGATAAGCTACATCCGCGTCGTGGGTATGACAGTAAACTACATCCACGTCCAGGGTATGACGATAAACTACATCCGCGTCTTGGGTATGACGATAAGCTACATCCACGTCAAGGTTAAGACGATAAACTACATCCGCGTACAGGGTAGGACGATAAACTACATCCGCGTCCTGGGTATGAGAGTAAACTACATCCGCGTCCAGGGTAAGACGATAAACTACATCCGCGTCCAAGGTAAGACATTAAACTACATCCGCGTCCAGGGTAAGACGATAAACTACATCCGCGTCCAGGGTAAGACATTAAACTACATCCGCGTCCAGGGTAAGACGATAAACTACATCCGCGTCCAGGGTAAGGCATTAAACTACATCCGCGTCCAGGGTAAGACATTAAACTACATCCGCGTCCAGGGTATGGCGATAAAATACATCGAATAACACTGGCACTAATGGTTTTTTGCTCGATAATACTTGCTCGAAAGGTAACCACCGAATAGTTATCTGCATAATGATACGTATAGAGAAATAGTATAGAGAATAGCAATCCGTATAAGGGATAGAGTAGAAATAGAATAGAAAGAGTGATCAATTAGACGCCACGCTAATTCCCATATATACATTTCCTTTACCATTACATGATCAACTTATTCAAAACGGGATCACCTGTGTTTACTCTCTGATGGTCTGTGTTCAAACTTCAGTGTCGGCAGCGACACTTTATTCCTATATAATAGTTTTTTTAGGGGGTCTTCTTGACCGGGTCGAGAATGTTCAACACCGCTCTGTAAAATGTCCTGGATCCCTTCTAAACGGTTCAGTACGTCTTTGTAAGTTCATCTAGAAGCGCTATCTCATTTTTATTGCTAATGTAAGGGTCTTCTAACCAAAATAATTTTTTATTTATTTTTAATACATCATACTTATTATAAAACCCAGGTTGTGTGTGTGTGTGTGTGTGTGTCTCTGTTCGTTTATATTGGATCGGATTTCCTACATTTTTTCAACCGATTTCAACAAAATTCACAGGACTACGTAAAATTACCTTGCAGTGGTTCTGACAGCGCCAAAAATTGGAAAAACACAATTGTTTTTGCATGAAATCAATTTGAAAATACGATTAAGGGACAACTCATATCGACTTATACTTATTATAAAACCCAGGTTGTGTGTGTGTGTGTGTGTGTGTGTGTGTGTGTGTGTGTGTGTGTGTGTGTGTGTGTGTTCGTTTATATATGGGATCGGATTTCCTACATTTTGTCAACTGATTTCAACAAAACTTTTTTTGGGGCGGGTAGTGTTTCTTATTGTCTTGGACACGTTTTTCTTTATTTTACATTCAGAATGCTTTAAAAAATTCCATTTACAAGACAATTGTTTATAATAAAATTCTATTCAATCGGTAGACTCATAACGACTGAAAACAATGTTTTTTTGCTTGAGTTTGGGTTTGACCAATTCGTAAAAAAAAAAAAAAGGAACAAAAAACTAATTAAGACATGCGTGTCCGTCAACCTTAAACAATAATCTTTGTCAATTTTATTTTTCAGTCTTTATGATGGTCGATACTTGATCTATCTCTTATTGTTACATCCCAGGCAACGCCGGGCTCTACTGCTAGTATATATATTTTTTTTTTTTTTCAATTTTTTTTTAGTTTGGAAACAACCGTTACAGTGGGCGCTATTGTTCTTGTGACCGTATGAGTTGTCCAAGATTCAATGGATCTGTTTGCGGAGGTAAGGCTTGCTTGTTGGTATTGATTACGCTTGGCTAGTATAGAGCACACGAGCAAAAGCCAGATGGAGATCTAAGCTCCGTCTGCTATCAAATGGGCTTACGCTGTATCATAAAATATTGTCGATTAAATTAAATATTGATTTTTTTTTTTTCAATAGTCCTCCCTTTTAGAGTTGGAATAGCGAAATGTATCCGCCACTTCTACACCGACAGTTTCTTTTCTCCTTCCTTGCGGTTGTAACACCTTCCGTTCCTTGCTTCCTGATAAATACAGTCTGCAAAATTTAAATGCAATGTCCTCACCTTTTCTTTTTTCTTGAAACACGTTCATCTTTTGTCCTTTCCTCAATCCTCCCTATTCTCAGTATTCATTTCACCCCTGTTACCCCCTGCGTACTAGTGGCATTCCTGACTTACTTGGGGTGAAATGATTAAAAGAATCCGATTCTAGCCATAATCAGAGAAAAGTATGAGTCTCTTTCTTCATTTAAAATAAAACTTTAGAAAAAACTTTTCAAAAAATTGTTTCGAAATAATATGTTGATTTCTTAGCCAAACCTATGAATCTGCGGATTTTCAGCTTCCACGGGTCTTGGGCCGATCTACCGCGGATAACGAGGTTCTCAATATATACTTATGCTGCTTCAATTTCCTTTGAAACCCTGGTTTCTATAGGATCATCAAAGTTAAACAGTGTCGAGCCTAGTCAGGATCTAGATGGGTAACCGTTTGGAAATACGAAGCGTAATAGCTCTGAATTGTTAATCGGATAGCTGAGTTCAATTTTCGTTGTCTTCGTTATATTCACTTAAGCTTCAAATACTTTTTGGATAATGTAGGAATCTAAATCTTCTTCCCCAGCTATGGGTTAATTAGTAAGAATTGTATTACTAAATATTATCTAAAAACTGACAATATAAAATATTTTCTGTCTTTAAATACCCTATAAAAACTTGACAAACCGTAAGAAATGGATCAATCAATCGACCAATGAAAACCACCAACAAAAATATAACCTTGTGATAATTGAAGGAAAAGAAAGTGAATTAAATTTAAAAGGTGCATCGACAAAAGAACGTGATGACAGATGTTGGAGATACAATAAATTGATACAAAATTTTTGTCTTTGAAAACGGTGTGGAATTTTTTTAAAGTAATAATGGTTTTAGTGATACAGGTCTTGGTAATTAACCCATAATTGGAAGAAGAGGAATTCACACCTTTCCTGGGGTATTTAACGTAAATGAACATAACGAACCTAACCAGAACTTGAACTCGGCTCTCCATTTAACAGTCCCAAGCCATTATCATGACACCATCAAACTTACAACACTTAGTATTTCAAGAAACACTCCATTTATGTACTGACAAAGCTCGACGTTGTTAACTTCGGTGATATTTCCAAAACCTGTGTTTAACGTGATATGGCCGTAAGCCGAAGTGGAATTGGAAATGGATATCACTTATATTTATTGAAATTACAGCCGTTGGAAAAGAAGTCAAACGAACGCCGTGTAAGGAAAATTATGTGTCAGTGTTGAGGATTGTGGCAGGATGTAAAGTGAACATTTGGCTCTGAATGATTGAACGTTCCGGCTTTATTGACTGGCTGCATATGGACGTGTTGTTTTTCTTAATGAACTCAGGAATTCACTTGGTAGTTACCTGAGCTCCCGCCAGAGCTGGATGTGGCACAAGGCTGGTTTAGTAGGGTTTTCCAAGTCCGTCGACCCGCAAATATTCCCCCGTAATTACGGGGTCACGTTTGTCTACCTCCCCAAACTCTACCCTCTTTGTATAGGTTCTTCTGATTCCTCTGCCCGAAGGCATTCGACAACACTAAGAGCTTAGCGCGGCTAAACCTCTCGGTATTTACCCGTCAGGATGTGACACAAGGCCGTTTTTAAGTGGGGCATTCCGGCTAAGACTTCTCTAACAGTACTGGTGGACAACCTTCTTTACATAAATTTTTCACATAGTGATAACTGTTTTTAGCCTTTTTGCTGGTCATAAATCTTCTTAGATTTATGGACCAATCAGAAAGGACTAAAAACAGCCGTTCAAACCAGATCAACTTATCCTTTGAAGTCCGAATTAGAAGCTTCTAGTTTGAAAGCTTTTCTTATTGACACTAAAATTATTATTCATTATGTTTGAAATTATTGGATTCGCTTCAAGTTACTCGACCTTCAATATTGATTTGTAATGATTTCATATCAGTATTGAACTAGTTTCAATAATGATTTATCCACAAAAACATACAGTATCAATAAGGAACTAATACCGGTGTGTTTTCTGTTTCAGGCATCAAACATGGAGAATGTAATTGTGGACAGTGTGTGTCCGGGAAAATTATCAAGGCCAGGCGTGCGAAAATGAAATTAGAACGGAGAGTTGCGTTGGTTCCAATGGAGTAAGTCTTCATTTTCATCAGATCCACAAGTTTACTCTAGAAGGTAAAACAAAAAAAAAAAAAAAAACTAAAGACAAATGGTAGATGCAGGCCGTGTTGCGTTAGAGTCTATAGGCATTAACGTATTCTAAGGGCATGAATATTAATATGTTATGCTGATACTTGACTATATATATATATATATATATATATATATATATATATATATATATATATGAAGAAATATAGTTTTTTAGGTGTGCTATATTTTTGGGATAAAGTGCTCAATATCTGAGATAGAGCGCATGTAAATATAAATATGAAAGTGAATATTGAAGTCAACACACAGAGGCTTTTTATACTAGACACAATCGTCAGGCCGCAAGTGTTGGATTTTCCCTCGACTGTTTATATATATATGGGTCAGTGGTGCATTATTGGGCTATCCCTTGTGGCGGTTATTTTGGCGGGAGTGGCATGTTTATTTCTTTGATTTCATTTATTTTACTTGTTTTTTTTTTTATTTTTATTCATTTATTCTTTTCGGTTTTCTATGTTTTATTAACGTGCTAAAAAATTGGTGGATTTGTTAGGTCGCTTACTTATTTATGTTTATTTTTATTAGTTCTAACGGTTATTTTAGCGGGAGCAATTTGTACAATATATAGTACAGGTAAAAAATCCGTTGGTGTATAATCCAAGTAGATCCTAATAATATAAAATATTAAAAGTGATCCACAAAAAGAGCTCAATATATATAACAATAAATCGTTTTTAGATAGTTTATATTGGGAAAAGGTATTAAGAAAAATAATTTAAAAAATGTTATCAACCAATTAAAATTTAAAATTAGTTAAAATATTAAGAAATACAAATAAAACCAGAATATATATATATTTAAAATATATATATATATGGAAGAAAGTTTAGAAGAGAAAATTAGAATAATTACTTTCAAAATTTTGTCACAGAAGTAGATTTAAACTTTACATACATACGCAGGTGCTTTTATTTCGGTATCAAGACTGTAGCGTTTATTTTATGTAGCAATGTTCCTTTCAACAAGAGATGGTGTGTGTACTTGACGCTTTGCAGATCTGCTGCCTGCGCCGTCAGACAAAATTACACATCCTGCCACACATACAGACATGTAGACGCAAACATACACTCCTATTGGTCTGGGTTTTTCACCACCACGTTGGTGAAGTTGGGTACTGTTTGTGGACATGGGGATGATGATGTTTGTATTTTCAACGCTAACTTCTTGTGTATTCTTGACGATTGTGACTATGATGATATAGATAATAACTGTGATATTATTATTAATTAATTAATAATTGTTAACGGTAAATTTAGCCTTAATGATGATGGAAACGAAAGTATAATAGCAAAAAAGAGGGGGGCAATAATTGCAATGACGCTGCGCATAGTACTACGTATATAATATATATATATATATATATATATATATATATATATGTTTATATATATATATATATAACACCAAAACAGAGTGTCTTTTATTTTAATGTTTAAACAAAACAATTATCCGTGTATGGCATCAAACTATATCAGAATATTTCCCTGAATATATTTTCCATGTTTATCGTCATTCTTCATTAAAACTACCAGAGGTACAGAGTGAAAACAATTTTGTATGTCTTTACAATATATATATATATATATATATATATATATACACAAACATATGTGTGTGTATATATATATATATATATATATATATATATATATATATATATATATAATTGTGCATGACTTGATTCTGAAGGAAACTTCACATTCCAACTCGGCATTAATAATCACTTTGTATCCAATACTTACCCAACATAGACGATTCATTCCAGCTTGTAAAATCTATTCACTTTTATCGGAAAATTCCAATTCCAATAATTTTAAATGTTATTCAAAACATTCTGAAGTTATTTAAAGCAGCACCTGGTTCAAATGCCTATTAAAAAAGTTATTCATCGCTATTAACGCGCAGTTTTTTCTCAAGTACTCAGTTGAAGAATTTAAAATCAATCGAATTCGAACTGTCAGTTGTTTAAAGTTGTAGCAATTTATACATCGCACATCATGTTTTATTATTTATAAACTATACAATGGTCTTTTTGTTTTAATTATTTATATTATATATCGATTATATTATACTTTATAATCGTCGGTTTGTAAAATTTTCATTGTTCGTGGATTATTCCGTATCAAAATTTCAATGAAAAAAATATTAAAATATTTTAGGCAAAAAAATGAAAAGGGAACAACTCTCTTTGAAGTTATGTCCTTAAATTGAAAAACAATATTTACAGATCATTGACATCTACGGAATGAAATTTAAATTTTTATTGCATTATTCAAAATTTTAACGCATCGGCTGAGAGCTATCAATGTCAACAACTGAGCACAAATAGTTGTAATTAAAAAAAAAAAGCAATTAATGTATAATTTGAAATTTATTAATTAATAACATGAACCTTTTGTATCCGAATTTTCATGAATCTTTGTTGTAGTTCTTGAGTTTGCTTGAAAATTCTAAATTTTCGACAACATTATGATAGTCCGTCTTCAAAAAAAACATACTGTCCTTCGCGACAGTCTTTGTTTTAATAATATTATCATTAATAAATGATTGCATTTCAAATATTGCATCATGTGATATTATTTCTTTTTATCATCAAGCCTTTTCATGGAATACAAACAGATATTAAAAAAAAAAATAACCATATATTCGTAAAAAATAAACATATATATAAATATTTCATGCTATGTTATAATGCTTATTACCTAAACAATAATAATTTTTTTGTTGCCATATTTTTCAACTGAAACTGAAAAAACTGAACCCTTTATTTCCCTCGCTGGGGTAAAAAAAACAAAGTTCTAATTCCACGTGCCATTAATGGATGTCAGTTATCTCCTGTTAATTCCTTCTGCAAGTTCTCCACTGCCTTAACCAGGTTCGAACTCACAAATCTTTGGGTCCTCTCAAGGATCTAACCAACGCCTTTATCCTGTGCCAGGTGTCCCGTGATGACATCTGTGTATGAATTTCTTTTTTTTATAAACAGTCTTCAACAGCATTTTTTACCGGTAGTTTTATTGCAATTTTTAAAACAATATTAAAAATTTTTTTACCAGTGGTTATATTACTAAATTTTTCGTTGTTATTAAATGCTTTTTGATTGGCACTCCCAAATTACTGTTTTCCCATAAAAACATAAATTCATTGTAAAAATTACTTGGTCGACTCAGGGAAAAACAATTTGGCCAAGCATATATATGCCGAATTCATAAATTTAAAAATTTTCCAATGATGTTCTTTGTCTATGATTTCAACCCATGTGTAAGAGGTGGTGATCTCCTTTTCTCCATATGCTTCCAATATTTGTGGTTTTTGCATCATGGAGGAAAAGATAAAATTGGAATAGCCTATACCAAATAAGTCTAGAACACGAATTTAAAAAAAGAACTCTGTTTTAAGGTCAGAAACAAAACAAACTAGAAATTATTTGTCACATGTCCTCCCATTATATATTCAGGGAAAGTGAATGAATCTCTGAACCAAAATATACCCTCCATACAATTAAGCATTAAATCATTCTCCTCTTTTTTTTTTTCTCTACTTCTGGACCAGGAGAACTAGTGATATTCTAGTGTATTATGGGTAAAGACCATTACTTGTGTTTCTTTAAAATAACATAAAAAAAGTTGTCTTTTTTTCTCAACTATGTTCTAAAATGACAATGACTTGAAAAATCGCAGGTCACTAATTTGAAAAAATATTTAGATGACAGTAAAATTAATGTATTGTCGTACCTCACACAAAAAAAAAAAAAAGAAAAGACATTGAAAATTTATGGGCATATTTGTGGAAAAAACGTAAAAGAAAAAAAAAAAAAAATAATTTGGAGGAAGTAGAAATTAACAAGGAATTATTGGGGCAAGTTTTCCTATCGAAAATATTAATCTTGTAATTAAATCGAGCAGGACTTTTCTTGCTTCTCGAAAAAGCAAACAAAAGTTGTTTTGGGCTAAACACGTAAAATGCAGATTCCTTGTTCTGAAGCCATCTTAGAACATGGGATTAAATATTCAAATTCTTCTTTCTGGTCAGATGAAACCAAACTAAATTTATTTAATTTTCCTCCCCGTTATGTATGAAGGAAATTAAATGAAAAGCTTACGGCCAAAAATATCCACCCTACAATTAAGCACGGTGACGTGAGCATTCTGACAATTTTCTCTACTTCTGGACTGGAGAACTAGTGATATTATATCCTATCTTGGATAAAGAACAGTCTTTGGCTATTCTTAAAAAATAACATAAAAAGAAAGTGCACGTCTTTTTCTGTCACTATCTTCAAAATGACAATGACTTGAAAAGACATAATTCTAATTGTTATAAAATATTTAGATGAAGTAAAAACAAACAATTGTATCATAAACCCTATTGAAAATTTATGGACATATTTGAAGAAAAACGTAAGAGAAGTCCTTCAAATTTAGAGGATCTTGAAATCTATTGCAAAAAAGAATGGCGCAATGACCTATTAGTGTGTTGGTGATCTTGTAAAGAACTATCAAAAAAAATGGATTAATCCCAATAATCAAGGTAAAGGTTAAAAATTGATTATTGAAACAAGAGGGCCAATAATATATAAATATATATATATATATATATATATATATATATATATATATAATATATAGGGGTTAGAAAAACGTAAAATTGAGACATCCTTTCAATTTCTGGAACTGAACACTATTGCTAAAAAAAAAAAATTTTAGTGTGTTGGTGATCTTGTAAAGAATCCAAAAATGGATTAAAGGCAATAATCAAGAAAAAAAGGTTAAAATTGATTATTGTCGCAAAGGGAAAATTTTATATATATATATATATATATATATATATATAGGTTACTACGTAAGAGGAAAGAAGTCCTTTGAATTTAATAGGAACTCAAATTATATTGCCAAGAAAAATGGCGCCAGTTACCTATTATTAATTATGTTAGTGATCTTGTAAAGAACTATCAAAATGGATAAAACGCAATAATCAAGAATAAGGTTACAAATGATGATGATTAAGATCAGAAGGCCAATTATTTTCTCCTACGTTTTTGGGTGTTTTTTTTATTTATTATTCTTTTGACATTAAAATAAAAAAAAATGTCATCAAAATCACTGCACATTCTTTCAAATTCATTATTTCATCATTTGTGAAAAATCGTAGAAATTTCCATGAAAATTTGAGATAGTACAGCTTTTATTTGTAATTATGGAACAGTTGACCAGGGTGAATAATTCTATCACAAACCTCATCTCAGACTTAAGAAAAGATCTTGACTAATTGGCGAAAACTTTGTTTTGTCTAACATCAAAAATCTATTTTTTTTCTTTTGATTTTTCAAAATTCTTTTATTTATTCTTTTCTATTTATTTTTTTTTTTTTTTGTATAGTCGTAGTTATGCGTGGAGCCTGTCTTATTTTGGTAGATTACTAATCACAAATATTTTTTTACCCTGGACCAACAGACTTTCTTTTCATATCAATTTTCGCTTTTGCATCTTCTTCGTCTTTTTTTATTTGAGGAAGGTTTATTTTGTTGAGAATCACCATAGAGAGATAATCTCGATAGAGAGAAACAGTGAGAGAGAGAAGCAGAAGAAGATGTGGAGAGGGGTAGATAGAGAAGAATCATAGAGGTCTGCCGAGAAGAAGATAGAGAATTTCCTAGAAAGGAAAGGAACGATATCTCTAGGATAAATAGAGATTTTAAGAAACATTTATATTTAGAGAGAGGAAGATCATCTATAATAATAGAGATGAGAACGACAAATAGAGAAAACTAATGAAAAAGCAGAGAAAGAGTGGGGATAGAGAGAGTGTGCTGTTTTTATTTTTCCACACACACATACACACAATAAAAATTAATTCACACCACGTGTATTAAAAAAATACAATTGCGCGATTCATTCCCACCATGCCCTGTGGGGTCAAAAACAAGGACAGCGCACACAAAAGTTCGGACGTAAGAAAAAGCACCACGTGGTCAAAAATATGATTTATTGACCAATCATGGCTCGACATAAAACCCATTTCTTAATCTCCCCGGAGCCTCATCAATTCTTATATAAGGAAGGTAGAAACTCTCATCAGAACGGAGAGAGAACAGCGACAAGCTGACATCAAAAGCGACACGGACAGTTTCGAGCACACACACACCCGAGAAGGATTCAGCGTTTCACACAACCAGGCAGTATCACGTATCAGTGAACATTCTTTCACCCTCTCTTCTCTCATCTCGCTCGCTACACATAGCCCTACCTTTCCCTCTCCACATTCCCAGTTCCTTTCTTTCTCTTTTCTTCCGCAACTTACCGGACAATTTCATTTTTTGTACAAGATAAAAAATAATTCTTTACAAAAATAAACAAAAAGTTTATTTTACTTTATTTGATATTGTATTTTCTTTTTTTATTATTTGTTTGAGGGACTTCTTTTACCCTCTACAAATTGGTGACCGACGAGACACACATTTAAAAACAAACAAAACGAAGAGGAAAAGGACACAATGGAATCACAATCTTCGAAACCCCTCTCGCCACACTATCGTTGAATATCCCGGCTTTTTCAACGTCGTCTAACACTAAGTCCTGGTTCGTTTCAAATCAGGCATTATTTGTCTGACGAATCACCTCAAGGAGCAGTATTGTTACTTAGTAGAAAAACTGCCAGCAGACATCGTCGAGGAAGTAATGGATTTACTGGAAAATGTCGGATGACAACCCGTACGATAGACTCAAAGGAAGCAATTTTTAAAACGGACCCGGTGCCTCCGAACGAAGCCATGCTACCAACCTTTTCCTCAGGTTGAATTAAGGAGACCGCACCCCATCGCAGTTATTGAGGCACATGCGGACCTTACTGGGTGACAACAAAATCCGAGAACATTATGCGAAGCTTATGGCTGGACAAGTTACCCACTACAACTTAACACAAATCCTCGCACCCATGACGGAGGAAACGCGCAGACAGAAAAACTCGCGGACATTGCAGATCGGATCCATGAAAGTTTTCGAAGCCGCAGGAATCGCTCTATCAACCACAACCAGCCCAACAAAGGGACGGGAATTTAACGACCTCAAGTCTACTGTAGAAAGGTTGTCTATACAATTACAAGACTTACTGCAAAAGACCGACAGTA